ATCATCGCGTGCTGCTGGATGCGCTCCTCCACCGGTAACGGAGGACTGGGTGCAACTGCTGACTCCATATGAGGTGCGTGATTCTGTCAGGTGTCAGTGTGCAGCGGTAGGACGGAGTCAGGCGCAGGACACAGAACTGAGTAACAGGCAAACTTTACTCGAAAATAAACAATTCTAATTTCCACGCAGGGAAATACACCAGCTCACAGCAGTCATAAACACAGAACAAAGAACAATCACACACAAAACCATGAGGGAACCAGAGGGTTAAATAGGGAAATAATCATAACGTGATGGGAACCAGGTGTGTACAATCAAGACAAAACAAATGGAAAACATAGATCGTAGATCGGTGGCAGCTAGAAGGCCGGTGACGACGACCCCCGATAGCCGCCCGCACAAGGAGAAGCACCAACTTCGGCGGAAGTCGTGACAGATCCCTTATTGATGTCATGTGTTAAATCCACTTCAATCAGTGTAGATGAAGGGGAGGAGACGGGTTAAGTATGAAAAATGTATGCACTCACTAACTGTAAGTCGCTCTGGATAAGAGCGTCTGCTAAATGACTAAAATGTCAATGTAAATGTAAAGAATATATTTTTTTAAAGCCTTGAGACAATTGAGACATGGATTGTGTGTGTGCCATTCAGAGGGTGAATGGGCAAGACAAAATATGTAAGTGCCTTTGAAGTAGTAGGTGCCAGGCGCACCAGTTTGAGTGTGTCAAGAACTGCAACCCTGCTGGGTTTTTCACGCTTAACAGTTTTCCGTGTGTATCAAGAATGGTCGACCACTCAAAAGAAATCCAGCCAACATGACACAACTGTGGGAAGCATTGGAGTCAACATGGGCCAGCATCCCTGTGGAATGCTTTCAACACATTTTAGTCCATGCCCCGACGAATTGAGGCTGTTCTGAGGCCAAAAGGGGGAGCAACTCAATATTAGGAAGGTGTTCCTAATGTTTTGTACACTTAGTGTATACCTGTGGTAGCTAGGGCTTATTCAGCATTTTCCATTCATTACTCTTTGTGAAAACCCCATCTGACACACACTTGTAGGAGACAGATAATCAATTTCCATGAGAGGAAAACAAATTATGTTGATGTACAGTGGGGAAAAAAAGTATTTAGTCAGTCACCAATTGTGCAAGTTCTCCCACTTAAAAAGATGAGAGAGGCCTGTAATTTTCATCATAGGTACACGTCAACTATGACAGACAAAATGAGAAAAAAAAATCCAGAAAATCACATTGTAGGATTTTTAATGAATTTATTTGCAAATTATGGTGGAAAATAAGTATTTGGTCAATAACAAAAGTTTCTCAATACTTTGTTATATACCCTTTGTTGGCAATGACACAGGTCAAACGTTTTCTGTAAGTCTTCACAAGGTTTTCACACACTGTTGCTGGTATTTTGGCCCATTCCTCCATGCAGATCTCCTCTAGAGCAGTGATGTTTTGGGGCTGTCGCTGGGCAACACGGACTTTCAACTCCCTCCAAAGATTTTCTATGGGGTTGAGATCTGGAGACTGGCTAGGCCACTCCAGGACCTTGAAATGCTTCTTACGAAGCCACTCCTTCGTTGCCCGGGCGGTGTGTTTGGGATCATTGTCATGCTGAAAGACCCAGCCACGTTTCATCTTCAATGCCCTTGCTGATGGAAGGAGGTTTTCACTCAAAATCTCACGATACATGGCTCCATTCATTCTTTCCTTTACACGGATCAGTCGTCCTGGTCCCTTTGCAGAAAAACAGCCCCAAAGCATGATGTTTCCACCCCCATGCTTCACAGTAGGTATGGTGTTCTTTGGATTCAACTCAGAATTCTTTGTCCTCCAAACACGACGAGTTGAGTTTTTAACAAAAAGTTATATTTTGGTTTCATCTGACCATATGACATTCTCCCAATCCTCTTCTGGATCATCCAAATGCACTCTAGCAAATTTCAGACAGGCCTGGACATGTACTGGCTTAAGCAGGGGGACACGTCTGGCACTGCAGGATTTGAGTCCCTGGCGGCGTAGTGTGTTACTGATGGTAGGCTTTGTTACTTTGGTCCCAGCTCTCTGCAGGTCATTCACTAGGTCCCCCCGTGTGCTTCTGGGATTTTTGCTCACCGTTCTTGTGATCATTTTGACCCCACAGGGTGAGATCTTGCGTGGAGCCCCAGATTGAGGGAGATTATCAGTGGTCTTTTATGTCTTCCATTTCCTAATAATTGCTCCCACAGTTGATTTCTTCAAACCAAGCTGCTTACCTATTGCAGATTCAGTCTTCCCAGCCTGGTGCAGGTCTACAATTTTGTTTCTGGTGTCCTTTGACAGCTCTTTGGTCTTGGCCATAGTGGAGTTTGGAGTGTGACTGTTTGAGGTTGTGGACAGGTGTCTTTTATACTGATAACAAGTTCAAACAGGTGCCATTAATACAGGTAACGAGTGGAGGACAGAGGAGCCTCTTAAAGAAGAAGTTACAGGTCTGTGAGAGCCAGAAATCTTGCTTGTTTGTAGGTGACCAAATACTTATTTTCCACCATAATTTGCAAATAAATTCATAAAAAATCCTACAATGTGATTTTCTGGATTTTTTTTTCTCATTTTGTCTGTCATAGTTGACGTGTACCTATGATGAAAATTACAGGCCTCTCTCATCTTTTTAAGTGGGAGAACTTGCACAATTGGTGGCTGACTAAATACTTTTTTCTCCCCACTGTATAATTAAAGATCAAAAACAATGCCATGCTCAGAAAGGTAATCTTGCAGATCCGTGCACGTGAATTATAAACAGGTGATTATTATCGATTTCCATCTGGAGATGCACAGAAAACATAATCACTCAATTGTAGTAGTGATTGATATTACATTGTTATTAAACATTGTTTTGGACAAGATGTTCCCCTTTCAATGCATGGATCAAAACAACATTCCTTGAAATTAATGTTTGTGTTTCATGAATACATTGCCATATAAGAACAAAAACAACACACATCTATCCTCCCACAAAGAAACTATGGTCCATGAAGTTTTACATTTTGAGTTTCAATCAAAACTGTAGGGGATAATCTTATGGACAAAAGACATGGCAGCAGCTATGGTGGTAGAATGTACTTTGACTAATGGTAGTTTTACTTGAGTACAGTACATCCTCTAACCACCTCTGTTCTCATAGAATCCATATGTTCCACATAGGAATGAAGAGGACTAAGAAAGTTATGGCAAAAATAATTTACTGGTGACCTTTACAATGTACCTTAATGAGAGGTAAGTGGGGTCGACCTGCTTTCACAATCTACCAGTTCTGCTGATTATCATGGATGATCATAATTCAAAGCCAAAAACCAACAAAGTATTATCTTACAAAAAACAGTGTTAAACTGTTCTGATTCAGATCATAATTACCTACAGTATATTGAGATGTCAATTATTTCCAGGTTGAGTACTTAGAATATTGATCATCATTAATCAATGGCGTTAGACAGGGCTGTGTTCTGGCACCTACCATCTTTACCACAGCCATCAACTTCGTAATGGGAAGGACTGTCGCCTGAAGCAGTTATGGCAGCCTCAGCTTCACTGATCTGGACTATGCGGACGACGTGACAATCCTGGCCAAGATCTTGGACATGATACACCTTGCCCTTGAGATCATGAATGAGGAGACCCAGCCACTCAGCATTTAAATTCTTTGCAGAAATCAACATGAAAGAAAAGTTATCTTGCAAATTCAGCAGGCTATGGTGTGAAATAGGCTTTTCTTTTATTACGTAGCGTTAATGCCGTCTTTGATGTGGCTTTGTTGTGCTTATAAATGCACAAGCACCTTTTCCCCTCCTATCAATAAAATAATGTTATAAAGTCATACAATTTTTACTGTGGTAAACTTCCAAATATATCCTGTCATTACTTAATGTGTAATGTGATAGGTATTTTAATGACAATTTTGAATAAAATAAAATATAATAAAATATCAGTCGTTTTCCTCAAATAAAGGGGATGATGACGCAATCTTTACGAGGAAGGGAATCGGATTTCATTGGTCCTCAACTCGCAGCTTAGTCATTTCATTCAGGGTAAGTGGAGTTTGCCTGCCCCTGTAGCAGGTCAGCTCTGAAGGATTCGTTGCCATAGAAACGTACCTCCCTAAAAGGTTAGCCACTTTCCTGTGACCGAGTTGAACTCAGTTGACCAAAGTTACCTTGCCAACTCCTCAAACCTGCTTCGTAGTGTAGGGCTCTGGTGTCTCTAGTCCCTAACAAACCTGGACACTTCCCTTGAATCTGATGAGGTCAGATGGGTGCAAGCAGTGTCCCCTCACACAAACGTAGCACATGCATTTACCACAAGGGCACTGGGTTTGCCAAGCAGAACACTTGAGCTAAATGGACCAAGCACAAACCATACATAAAAATTAGGACACCATGCACACAAACACCTCTTAGATACTGACACACACAGCGACAATCAAGTGTTTATTACAAAACATCTACAAACAATTTTACTGAAATAAACAAGGTTGCAACAAACTACAGAATGTATTTTCTAAATCAAAGCTAACGATTAGGTAAACTAGGACAGATGGCTTGACAGTGACAAGAAGCAGAGTATGCAATGACACAAAACCCACCAGCTGTCAAAATAAAATATCCATGATGTTATCTCACTGGCAGAGATAGGAAGGAGCTACTGAGTTGCGGGGCGAAAAACAATTCTAGAATGTCTGTACAAATTTAGACTGCATTAGAAATCCCAGTGTTATGCCCATCACTAAATAAAGTGTCTTTACTCTGAATAAACCCGATTTGATCATGTATGCTAGCTCTATGGCAAAATCAATGTTACTTTATAACATTTCACAACACCTGCCTTCAATTTCCACCCGATAGCCACCTCTGTAAGACACTATTCTGCTCTACTACAGTGTTCTAAGTGTGTGCTTGGCCCTAGCTGTGTTTGTAATGTAATATGATATATAATATATGCCATTTAGCAGACGCTTTTATCCAAAGCGACTTACAGTCATGCATGCATACATTTTAAGTATGGGTGATTGTGTGGTGTTGGGTGGCCTTGCTCTGACTCTTCTAGTGTACATGTCTTTCATGGTCGGATTACTATTATATTCAAGGCTCTTCTTTCCCTTCTCTATATCTGTATTGCTGAGAAATGTTCACTAGAGAGCCGTAGTCCTGCTGGTTCTCCCTGGTACTTTATCGATCCTTCCCTATGTTCTGTCAGAGGTATACATTCTCACCTACACAGACCTTTCTGCATTGGTCCCAGGCAGCTGGCTACCATTGTTCTGGGTCAGTGTGTATAAGAACTGATGGGTTGGGGGTACACTACTAAGACACTACTGGCTAATTCTTTACTCTGTTGGGCTCTTGGGGGCTGTCTGAACTGTCAGAGGGAGAGGGTTGGGGAGCTGGTTTCGTTCTGGTCTCTTACAACTCTGGACAGGTCCTGGTTCTGTGTTTGGACTGGGACAGGGCTAGAGTCAGTCAAGGCCTGGAGATCTTTCTCATGCTCTTCCGTTGGTGGTTCCGCCCTCTCTTTCTTTACTGCAATTTTCTCTTCATCCTCCTCTTCCTTCTTTGGTTCTGCTAGTCTTTTCCTGCCCTCCCTTTTACCCTCTTTCCTCAGCCCCTTCTTCACTTCCTTCTTTGTAGAGATGGCAGGAAGTGGTTTCTGGTCAGGGGTGGAGCTCTCACAGACGGTGGGCCCGTCCCACTTTGGAATGTCCAATCCCAGCAGCTCCATCAGCTGGCTCATAACCTCGTCCACATAACCGTTGATACGCAGGTGCGCGTGCTTGTCCTGCCAGACAGAAACAAACACGAGCTTGAGACCTCTACCAGTAACAACAACCTAGTTCCTACCACGTCGGTGTTTGCAGAACACAAATGACAGAAGGGCCAGGACAGGAGTTTAAACTTACCATGTGATGTGACCTGATCAAAAAAAACTACAGGCCCTCAAAATGAGATCAGTCAGCTGCGAAAATGTTACTTGTCCACCTTTAAGGGTGAAACCACCCAGACAAGTGCAGGACTAGACATCTAGACGATACTGCATCTACAGAAGTTCAGTATGTCAACTCTCTAAACTTCTTACGTATGCCTTTGTATTCCTTACGGAACATAAGCCATCAATGAATTGTCTCCAAACTTTCTAAAGGTCCTGCAGTAGGATTAGCTGTGAGAATGTGTCGAGTCATTAATCAAGTGTGATCTCACTGAACACATTGGCTGAATTATTCATGCGGCTGGGTTCTATTTCTAACTTGAAACTTCTGTAGGACACCAGACCTTAGAATTACACGGTTCTATGTGACAATAGGAAAGTTCTGAAGATAATAGGCTGTAAACATCTGTGGGCTAGTTGATTTGAACTGTGCTAACAATTTACATCTCATTCTCTTTCTACATCATTTGTGGAAATCGGCCGCTATGGTGTTCATGTTCGCAGCTCTTTATATAGCTTTTTATAGGATGCAGTGTGTTAGTTTGTTAATTACGTGTAAGTTGAAGTTTGTGTGCGTGTCTGTTTAGTGGTGCACAGATTGTTTTGAGTGTGTGTGAGTGCTACTACGGTTGTGTGTGTGTGTGTGTGTGTGTATATATGTGGGTAAGTGTGTGTGCGTCACTCGTGTTTTGTAAGTTGGAGTTTGTGTGTGGCGTGCGAGACTCACGTGTTTGGTGGGCTGAAGGTTGACGATGACCACCTTGCCCCCCTTGCGTTTGGTGAAGAGGGGCAGGTCTCCGCTGGGCTTGATCTGCAGAGAGGTACCCAGGGTCAGCGCCAGGTCGGCCCGCCTAGACAGAGAAACAACAAAACTACATTACCCATAATCATTACCTACAACCAACCAGGTCCACCACCTTAGAACCTGCTATATAAAGTGCATTCGGAAAGTATTCAGACCCCTTGACTTTTTCCACATTTTGTAACGTTTTCCTCAATCAATCTACACACAATACCCCATAATGACAAAGCAAAAACAGGTTGTTAGAAAGTTTTGTAAATGTATTAAAAATAAAAACATTTGAAACATCACATTTACGTAAGTATTCAGACCCTTCACTCAGTACTTTGTTGAAGCAACTTTGGCAGTGATTACAGCCTCGAGTCTTCTTTGGCACACTTGTACTTGGGGAATTTCTCCCATTCTTCTCTGCAGATCCTCTCAAGCTCTGTCAGGTTGGATTGGGAGAGTCGCTGCACAGCTATTTTCAGGTCTCTCCAGAGATGTTCTATCGGGTTCAAGTCCAGGCACTGGCTGGGACATTCAGAGACTTGTCCCGAAGCTACTCCTGCATTGTCTTGGCTGTGTGCTTAGGGTCGTTGTCCTGTTGGAAGGTGAACCTTCACCCCAGTCTGAGGTCCTGAGCGCTCTGGAGCAGGTTTTCGTCAAAGACCTCTCTGTACTTTGCTCCGTTCATCTTTCTCTCGATCCTGACTAGTCTCCCAGTCCCTGCCCCTGAAAAACATCCCCACAGCTGTCACCACCATGCTTCACCGTAGGGATGGTGCCAGGTTTCCTCCAGATGTGAAGCTTAGCATTCAGGCAAAAGAGTTCAATCTTGGTTTCATCAGACCAGAGAATCTTGTTTCTCATGGTCTGAGAGTCTTTAGGTGCCTTTTGGCAAACTCCAAGTGGGCTGTCATGGGCCTTTTACTGAGGATTGGCTTCCGTCTGACCACTCTACCATAAAAGCCTGATTGGTGGAGTGCTGCAGAGATGATTGTCCTTCTGGAAGGTTCTCCCATCTCCACAGAGGAACTCTGAAGCTCTGTCAGAGTGACCATCTGGTTCTTGGTCACCTCCCTGACCAAGGCTTGTCTCCCCTGATTGCTCAGTTTGGCCAGGTAACCAGCTCTAAGAAGAGTCTTGGTGGTTCCAAACTTCTTCCATTTAAGAATGATGTTCTTGGGGACCTTCAATGCTGCAGAAATGTTTTGGTACCTTTCCCAGTTCTGTGCCTGGACACAATCCTGTCTCGGAGCTCTACGGACAATTCCTTCAACCTCATGGCTTGGTTTTTGCTCTGACATGCACTGTGTGTGCCTTTCCAAATCATGTCCAATCAATTGAATTTACCACAGGTGGAGTCTGACTACTTATGTAAATAAGGTATTTCTGTTTTGTTTTTTTATAAATTTGCAAAAAAATCTAAAAAACTGTTTTCGCTTTGTCATTATTGGGTATTGTGTGTAGCTTGAGGAGGATTTTTTTTTTTTTTTTATCAATTTTAGAATAAGGCTGTAACGTAACAAATTTTGAAAAAAGTCTAGGGGACTGAATACTTTCCGAATGCCCTGTATGCTGTGTTAAGTTAATGTCACATGCACAAGTACAGTGAAATACTGTTCTTGCAAGCTCTAAACCCAACAATGCAGTAATCAATAACAATGTAATACTAAAAATAACATAAGGCAGAACAAAAACACACGAGGGGACAAAAAACACCCCCCTGTGAGGCCCCCGTGTTGAGGGTCAGCATGGCAGAGATGATGTTGCCTACCCTACCACCAGTCCAGGATCCAGTTGCAGAGGGAGGTGTTCAGTCCCAGGGACTGCTCCCACCCAAAGAAAACTTCCAGCGAGCATTTACTGTGGACACTGAGGCTGTACCTGCTTGAAGTCACCGTTTTAACAATCGCCAAGTAGGCTACTGTGGCTATTTGATCATAACGTAGGCCTACCAGAGTGGCCTACCATTAAAAAACGGGGGAGAAAATGCATCCCATAACATTTTAACATGGAAATAGCTGTTCTATCTTTCAGCCTGCAGTAGCAGCCAATGTGTGTTGTTCAATGTAGGACTACATTCCATGAGACTTGAAAAAAACATGCAGGGCTTGACATTAACCTGTTTATCCACTTGTCCTTTAGATAAGTAGGTGACTGAAAATGTTGTTGTGTTGTTTGATGCAATTATTATTCCCATACCATTACTACAGAGAATCAGACAAATTATTACATTATCTGCCTATTGGCTACTTAGCTTGCCTCAAAATGCCATTCAAACACCAAGATACAGTGGGGAGAACAAGTATTTGATACACTGCCGATTTTGCAGGTTTTCCTACTTACAAAGCATGTAGAGGTCTGTAATTTTTATCATAGGTACACTTCAACTGTGAGAGACGGAATCTAAAACAAAAATCCAGAAAATCACATTGTATGTATCAAATACTTGTTCTCCCCACTGTAGGTCAGGGCCAACAAGGATCTGTGCACATCAATAGATAATCTTATGTATGCCTCTGTGCCATCATAATACAGGTCAATATGTTACACACAGGTTAACTAACATTCTGACCTACACGGCCAACACAAAGACCCTTACTTATTTAAGGAGGTGCTCTGCTTTTGTTCTCTCTCTGTCCTTTTTCTTTTACCTGCTAGCTTCTTCGGCTCTGTTGAGGTCTTTGTCAGGCAGAGCGTCCTCCCAGTCCAGTATGGTACTGATGAGCTTCCCCCTGTGTGAACACACACATTTTAGGGTAATTTCTTAGCAGATACAGTGGCTTGCGAAAGTATTCACCCCCCTTGGCATTTATCCTATTTTGTTGCCATACAACATGCAATTAAAATTGATTTACACAACATGCCTTGAAGATGCAAAATATTTTTTCTTTTGAAACAAACAAGAAATAAGACCAAAAAACTGAAAACATGAGCTACATTTTTGTCTCATCTGACCAGAGTACCTTCTTCCATATGTTTGGGGAGTCACCCACATGCCTTTTGGCGAACACCAAACATGTTTGCTTATTTTATTTCTTTAAGCAATGGCTTTTTTCTGGCCACTCTTCCATAAAGGCCAGCGCTGTGGAGTGTTAGGCTTAAAGTGGTCCTATGGACAGATACTCCAATCTCCGCTGTGGAGCTTTGCAGCTCCTTCAGGGTTATCTTTGGTGTCTTTGTTGCCTCTCTGATTAATGCCCTCCTTGCCTGGTCCGTGAGTTTTGGTGGAAGGCCCTCTCTTGGCAGGTTTGTTGTGGTGCCATATTCTTTCCATTTTTAAATAATGGATTTAATGGTGCTCCGTGGGATGTTCAAAGTTTCTGAATATTTTTTTTATAACCCAACTCTGATCTGTACTTCTCCACAACATTATCCCTGACCTGTTTGGAGAGCTCCTTGGTCTTCATGGTGCCACTTGCTTGGTGGTGCCCCTTGCTTAGTGGTGTTGCAGACTCTGGGGCCTTTCAGAACAGGTGTATATATACACTGAGATCATGTGACAAGATCATGTGACACTTAGATTGCACACAGGTGGACTTTATTTAACTAATTATGTGACTTCTGAAGGTAATTGGTTGCACACAATCTTTTTTAGGGGCTTCATAGCAAAGGGGGTGAATACATATGCACGCACCACTTTTCTGTTATTTATTTTTTTGAATTTTTTGAAACAAGTTATTTTTTTCATTTCACTTCACCAATTTGGACTATTTTGTGTATGTCCATTACATGAAATCCAAATAAAAATCCTTTTAAATTACAGGTAGTAATGCAACAAAATAGTGAAAACATCAAGGGGGCTGAATACTTTTGCAAGGTACTGTACCTGGCTATGTACTGATACAGTGTGATGATCTCTGATATTTTATCAGTGTTTTGGATTATTGTATTTCTCCGAAATACCAAGACGGTGAAGCTGTATGAGTAATCCCCAGTGTGTGTGTGTGTTACCTGCAGGCCCTGAGTCCTCTTCCCCGGACCTCCTCACAGTATTTTCCAGTGGGTTTCAGCCCCATTACACCAATCACCTTTTCCCGCACATACTGCCTGAAAAACCACACATCCATCAGAACCTGTGATACCTTTCACCTTGAGTTACTGGTAAAGAACCTTCAGTGAGCCAGTGCCATATAATGAAATAGTTTAACTCTGATGGGCAGTGCCACTTTACAGGTGACCGTTATCAAAACAGATCAGCGAACAAACACATTTCAAAGAGTTTAAAGAGCGTGTGAGGTGGCTGACGTAAATGCTTCGCTGCTGTTGTCATGCCCGTGTAGTGGAGTACAGATGGTGGCTGAAGGCCAGAAAAGTGATCCCTATTAATATGCTGCTGGAATGGTTTTCCCTGCTTACAAGCCAGCCTCCCTTGCCCAAGTTGCCTCAGGTTGTTAACATATGGAAAGAGAGAAGTCTGTCTATTCTTGTTTATTTTTGTGGAATTGACAGTTGAGGTAGGCAAACAGTGTTAGCAGATTTAGATTATAATTTAGATTAGAATTAGCATCAATGCCTCCCGAGTGACGCAGCGGTCTAAGGCACTGCATCGCAGTGCTAGAGGCGTCACTACAGATCTGGGTTCGATCCTGGGCTGTGTTGCAGCCGGCCGCGACCGGGAGACCCATGTAAAAAAATGAAAATGAAAAGGATTAGCATCAACTAAAACCAGTGCAGGGTTAATCAATCTGGCTTTTATATGACGTGTGTGTATGTGTGACAAAGACAGTGGGTTTAGCATGAATTAACCAGTTGAGAGCACACAAAATAACTATTTTTGTTCAAAATGGGCTGAACTGTGTTTCGGTACGCTTTCATTCTAATGTGAAGTTCATAACACTTCGATGCTTTTGAATTCGTCGTGTGGTACATCTTTCACAAAGAGTGGTTTGAACTGACGTACTTGCCACACTTCCCACACTCCTCCACGAACATGTTCCCATGCAACTCAGAGAGCAGATCCCTGAATCAGAAAGAGAAACAGAGACTGCTTATTTCAAATAAGTATGTTATTGACAATAAACAATTTATATGAATTTAAATGAGAGTGTTGAAGCAATGGAGTACTTTAGTTTAGCATTTCCTTCCCAACTGAATACCATATGGATTGGAATAATGGTATTCTCCTGCTAATGTATTGAATCGTTTTGATTTCGCTCTCTAGCTGTAGCTGTTCCAATTCTATGAAATCCTATTCACATGAGAGACCAGGGCTTATTCACAAAGAGTCTTTAGAGTAGGAGTGCTGATCTAGAATCAAGTCCCTCCTGTCCATAGAATCTTATTATGTATGATCTAAAAGGCTAAACTGTTCCTAGATCTGCATTTCTACTCTGAGACACTTGGTAAATTCGGGTCCTGGTCAGAGAATGATTGTAGTGTTCCATTGGGATAGTATAGCAGTTTTTATATTTTATTTAACCACGAAAAACACATTGAGAGACAGTCTCTCTTTTGCAAGGGAGTGTTACCTGGGGAAGCCGGACCGGACGTGGAGGCCGTCCACATTCTGGCTGATGAGGTATTTGAGGTAGCTGGCTCTATGCAGCCCCAGCAGGGCCATGTGAGTGAGGCTGGGCCGGGCTTCCTCGAATGTGGTGTCAAAGTGGGGAGACTCGCCCCTCTCCTCCATGGTCCACACGCCTTTGGGACCCCTGAGAGAGGGAGACAACGTAGAAGTGTGAGAGGTGTGTACAAACACACACACAGTCTAAGGTTATGACAGGGCAACATACAAGACACTGTCAAGCAATCTCTCGACATCTCTGTAGTAAATTGTGGCATCTCTGTTGTGGTAGCTGCCGGGCTTCAAAAGGTAAGAGACGCATTTCTACGCAAGAGGCAGAGCGAGACATTCTGAGAATACAGAATGAAGGCCTTAGCATTCTCCTCTTTCCCATTCTCTTTTAACTTACACAGCCCCCGCTCTCTCACCTCTCACTGTGTGACTTATTGTCTGCTCTGACCAGATCAAAGCTACTCAGCCATTTGGTAAGACAGTCTAACAGTCGTTAGGCTACAGGAGTACGTCAGCCAGGTATTACGTACTTATCTTTTAGAGAAAAGGGCAGCAGGACATGAAGAGCAATGAAAGTCTGCTAATTGGCTTTAGGGGGGAACGTGTACTTTTTATGCCTAGGTTTTTCAGTAATGGACCATTAATTCAATTCAAGGCCATATCTCCCTGACAAACAGACAGGCAGGCAGACAAACCAGAATGACAAAGAGACAAGCCGGCTGATTAATGAAATATGAATGTAACGTCCGCTAGAGTTGAGGAGAGCGCTGCCGCTAACAGTCATCTTGTCCCTTGTGTTTACTACACACATTACATTTACATTTTAGTCATTTAGCAGACGCTCTTATCCAGAGCGACTTACACACTCCTCACAGCAGAGATGGGGAAAAGAGGAAACGAGTGAAGACACAAGCAGAGAGAGAGAATATGAATGAGATTGTAATGACAAGTAATGTGAAAGAAAACGTTAGAACGTTGGTGTGAAAGTCAACATCACAGAGATCCAGCCAAGACTACAGTACAATCATTGCTCTGGTATGAAAAATGTACGCACTCACTAACTGTAAGTCGCTCTGGATAAGAGCATCTGCTAAATGACTAAAACGTAACAGAGCTAGCCTATACTGCTCTCCTTTGCTGATACCGCAGTACTGCAGCCAAATAAGAGGTTGATGTTGACTCACATTTCCTATTTTCTGACTTGAATCATTTGAAAATGCATCCTTCCATCTTCCATTTGAGAGAAATGGGCCTTTACTGGTATAATAAATACATTTCTAAACTGGCCAAATCCTCTGTCAGTTCAGCATAGCCATGAACCAAGCCTTTACAACCAAGGAGAGGTGGAGGAGAGGGTGCTTCTTTAGCCTATTGAGATGCTCTCTGAGTGGTTGAGCGGTACAGGGTAATGGTCTTACCTGAAGTCAGGTATGCCTGAAGAGGTGCTGATGCCTGCCCCAGAGTGGACCACCAGGTACTGGGACTCCCTAATCAGCTGGGCCAGAGCCTCCACCTTCCCCTTCAACTCCTCTTTACTGTCAAATGACTGGGAGAGAGAAGGGGATGGGGAGATAACGGGGCAGAGCAGGGGGGAGAGTGAAGAGGATGGGGTGGAAGATGAGAGGACAGGATGGGGTGGGAACAGTAAGAAGGAGAGTTTAGAGGGTAGTGTTTGTTTAGGGGGGAACAGGGCAGGTTAGACATCTATTTCAGTGGGGTGCCAGATGCAGTGTGTGGAGAACATCTCAGAACATGCCAAAGGGAACTCGGGGCGGCAGCAACAACAAAGTAATGGTAGGGGGAACACTACACTGGCGTCCATGTTAGCTTTAGTGTGTAACCACAACAGTGCTAGAATAGTACTAGCTAGCTAGTTTTGAACGTCGTGTATATTGGCAGTGGGAATATATATTGCTCCGGTAGTAGGTTCACTTCTGGCTAGAGGGGATCCTCGAAAAGCTTTGTAGCTAATAGTAACTTAGCTAGCTAGCTAACGCCTGCCTGGGTGTTTACCTCGGGGAGCCCGCATACACCTTTGTCCGCATATGTTGACAGTCCAGCGGCGTAGTTTACAGACATAACTGCAGCTCCTCAACAAAAACTCAGAAATAAACCTCAATGCTCTCGTAAATATTCGCATTCAACGCAATTCACTTTTGTTCCTTTCTGAAAACCAGCCCACTTGCTCGTTGTTGACCCAGATTGGTGACGTCATCTATAAGGGACGATTCCACTCAAAATCACTGATTAGTTATTTGCCGTGGCTGTCGTGCAGAGAGAACAATGAGACAGATATTTTACCGGATGTATAAATGTGAAGCATCCATTTGGCGTTTCCACTCACCACATATGGTGGTGAGAGGAAGCCCAGTGGCCGGACGAAGCGTCCTTCGAGCATTTCCGGTACTTCCAGGCGGGCAATTTTGAAACGAGTAGGACTTCAGCTACCGAGTTCAAGCAAAATGAACGAGTGGGACCTTCGACTTGGTGAATGAGTTGTTGGTGTGTGGGAAGTTTGGAAGTCTGACAGCCGAAATGGCGGCGAGTAGTGCGAACGAAATGGAGGAAATGGAGAAAAGGTTGGAGAAGCAACAGCTGTTCTGGGATGTGAACAATATGGATCACAGTTCTGATGATGTGGAGCAGGAGGATGAGGGTCAAGGACCGAAATGGTCTGTAGTGGAAAGACATATGAAGAGAAATCATGATACTGAAAGCAGTGTAACATTTGTAAAGAAAGCATAAAGAGGGCCAAGTTAGGAAGCAATGGTTATAATGTGTTGGAGTGGAAAGTGGTGATGGTGTTTGATGAGACTACAGGGCCTCATTTAAATCCTATCTGACTAACCAATGCTGTAGAGAAAGAGATATGTGAAGTCAAATTAGCCCGGTTCATTGGAAATGGTAGAATGTTAATATTTTGTGGTAGCCAGGATCAGCAAGGGAAGATTCTGCAAATGGAAAAGCTTAATGGGAAGAAGATTAAAAGCCATGTCCTTCGTGCTTATGCTAGGTTGAGGGGAGTCATTACTGGGTCCCAATATCTATGTCCATATATGATATTTGAGAAAATGTGTAGGGAGGGCCTTGGTCAGGGAGGTGACCAAGAACCCAATGGTCTCTCTGACGGAGCTCCAGACTTCCTCTGTCGAGAAGAGATAACCTTCCAGAAGGGCAACCATCTCTGAAGCTCTCCACCAATCAGGCCTTTATGGTAGAGTGGCCAGATGGAAGCCACTCCTCAGTAAAAGGCACATGACAGCCCGCTTGGAGTTTGCCAAAAGGCACCTAAAGGACTCTCACACCATGAGAAACAAGATTCTCTGGTCTGATGAAACCAGATTTAACCTGGCACCAGTGGCGGCTCCTGAAAAAATTCTCAGGGGGGGCAATTTTTCTGATGATTTAGGTGACCTACACACATTTTAAAAAAGATATGTCCAGCAACAACATGAAGACAGGGGCAGCATATAAGTCAATACCAGAAGCATTTATTGACTGATCTCAAAAGTGTTGGCTTACAAAAGCAAAATAAGTTATCACAGTAAAAAATAATCAAGGGTGTTCTTTCACATTCCTCAACACTGCATAAACAATATGCATTTCCATAAAACACCTCATCTAATTGTGCCACAAAGTTGACAAGTCCAAGAAAAATACCAGGGTTGGTGGAGCCCTCAGTTTCATCTTTGCCTCGCAAAGCTAACTCAAACACTCCGCAAAACTTCACACACTGGATTAGCCGGCTGAGGATGTGGCGGTTCTTGCTAACCTCATCGTTGTGGCGGCGGACAGCTAGCCTGTATCCCTCATCCAGTTGAGTGGCAATGTTCACTCTCCCCAAAGCAGACAATCTCAAACAGCTATCCATGTGGGTCTTTGACAGCTCATGTTTCTTAATCTTTTCTGAAAGATGGTGCATGTCCGTTACACCAGTCGCTGTCCAAGCGGTGCTGTCTGCCGTGCCGCCTTCAGAGTGAAAGAGTAAGCAGGGGTAGCAGAAGACTGCATTAGCTACATCGCAGCCTGCTAGCCAGGTTTTTCGTTCGTACCAATTTTTGGAAAATCCTCGGGTGTAGGACTTTCCCCCTTTAGTAGAAACCTGTTGAATTATTAAATTTGGTCTGGGAGGTCCTAATTGTTTCGTTGCCAATTTATCTTGATTTGTTCGCCGACAAAAAGGAACTTCTTTCAAAGAGACAATCGAGTTGCACTGAACGCTAGCCATCTTGACAGTAGTACGTGAATTGATTGACGCTGCTACCCGCTCTTTTCTTAGTTACGTTCATGGTTATGTTACGTATGACGAAAGCGCGTAAGTGCAAGCCCTCCCGGAACCCACAGAGATTGTATTGAAAGCTCTGATATTTGAAAAAAAAAAGATTTTACATGAGAGTCTATGAGAGACTTCTGGGGCGATTTTCAACCTGACTGAAATCGCCCCAAAAGGGTCGGGGCCATTTGAAGCACGACTTTAGCCTGATTGGACATTTAGTGGCAGATCAGACGTCTAGATTAGAACACTGATAACTACTGTTGCCGTGATATAATTGATTAGAAAAAAAATCCCTTCCTTTTCCCGTTTGGCAGTGCGTCGCCCATATCGCCCTAATGAACACACCGCCCCTGCCTGGCACCATCCCTACGATGAAGCATGGTGGTGGCAGCATCATGCTGTGGGGATGTTTTTCAGCAGCAGGGACTGGGAGACTAGTCAGGATCAAGGGAAAGATGAACGGAGCAAAGTACAGAGAGATCCTTGATGAAAACCTGCTCCAGAGCACTCAGGACCTCAGACTGGGGCGATGGTTCACCTTCCAACAGGACAACGACCCTAAGCACACAGCCAAGACAACGCAGGAGTGGCTTCAGGACAAGTCTCTGAATGTCCAGCCAGAGCCCGGACTTGAACCTGATCGAACGTCTCTGGAGAGACCTGAAAATAGCTGTTCAGTGATGCTCCCCATCCAACCTGACAGAGCTTGAGAGAATCTGCAGAGAAGAATGGGAGAAACTCCCCAAATACAGGTGTGCCAAGCCTGTAGCGTCATACCCAAGAAGACTTGAGGCTGTAATCGCTGCCAAAGGTGCTTCAACAAAGTAATGAGTAAAGGGTCTGAGTACTTAAGTAAATGTGATATTTCCGTTTTTTATTTTTTAATACATTTGCACACAAAAAATCTAAAAACCTGTTTTTGCTTTGTCATAATGGGGTATTGTGTGTAAATTGATGAGGGGGAAAAAACGATTTAATCCATTTCAGAATAAGGCTGTAATGCAACAAAATGTGGAAAAGGGGTCTGAATACTTTCCGAATGCACTGTAGCTGTTCAGTGTAAAGGAAATAAAATATGTGCCAAGTGTGGAGGGGAACATGATTACGGTGAAATCAAATCAAAATCAAATGTTATTGGTCACATACACATGTTTAGCAGATGTTATAGCGGGTGTAGCGAAATGCTTGTGTTTCTAGATCCAACAGTGCAGTAATATCTAACAATTTCACAACAATACACACAAATCTAAAGGAATGGAATTAAGAATATATAAATATTTGGATGAGCAATGTCGGAGCGGCAGACTAAGATACAGTAGAATAGTATAGAATACAGTATATCCATATGAGATGAGTAATGCAAAATATGTAAACATTATTAAAGTGACTAGTGTTCCATTATTAAAGTGGCCAGTGATTTCAAGTCTATATAGGGTAGCAGCCTCTAAGGTGCTAGTGTTGGCTATTTAACAGTCTGTGACTGGGAATATGGCCGAATACAAACAGTGTAGTTATTCCCTCCGTAAGGCAATCAAACAGTCAGTACAGAGACAAAGTGGAGTTGCAATTCAACGGCTCAAACACGAGACGTATGTGGCAGGGGCTACAGACAATCACGGACCACAAAGGGGAAACCAGCCACAACGCTTTCAGTTTTTTGCGCGAATGCTGCCATCTACCCACGGTTTCTGGTTTGGGTAGGTTTTAATAGTCACCGTGGGTACAACTTCTCCTATACACTTCCTGATAAACTCAGTCACCGTATCCGTGTATTCGTCGATATTATTCTCAGAGGCTACCCGGAACATATCCTAGTCCGCGCGATCAAATCAATCTTGAAGCATGGATTCCGATTGGTCAGACCAGCATTGAGTAGTCCGTAGCACAGGTGCTTCCTGTTTGAGTTTCTGCCTATAGGAAGGAAGGAGCAAAATGGAGTCGTGATCAGATTTGCCGAAGGGAGGTCGAGGGAGGGCCTTGTAGGCATTTCGAAAAGTTGAGTAGCTGTGGTCCAGTGTTTTCTCAGAGCGAGTGCTACAGTCAATGTGTTGGTAGAACTTCGGTAGCGTTTTCTTCAGATTAGCTTTGTTAAAATCCCCGGCTACAATAAATGCGGCCTCAGAATATGTGGTTTCCAGTTTGCATAGAGTCCAGTGTAGTTTGTTGAGGGCCGTCGTGGTATCGGCTTGAGGGGGAATATACACGGCTGTGACTATAACGGAAGAGAATTCTCTTGGGAGGTAATACGGTCGGCATTTGATTGTGAGGTATTCTAGGTCAGGTGAACAAAAGGACTTGAGTTTCTGTATGTTATCACAATCACACCATGAGTAGTTAATCATGAAACATACCCCCCCGCCCTTCTTCTTCCCGGAGAGATCTTTATTTCTGTCTGCACGATGAACTGAGAACTCAACTGGCTGTACGGACTCAGACAGTATATCCCGAGAGAGCCATGTTCCCGTGAAACAGAGTATGTTACAATCCCTGATGGCTCTCTGGAAGGAGGTCCTATCCAGAGACTGAACATTAGCGAGTAATATACTTGGAAGCTAGGACTCCACTCTGAATACCTCTTCTCCGCCAGCGGTGTTTTGGATCAGCCTATGGAATCAGTTCAATTGCCCTTGGTGGTACGAACAAAGGATCCAATTTGGGAAAGTAATATTCCTGGTCGTAATGCTGGTGAGTTACAGCCGCTCTGATGTCCAAAAGTTATTTCCGATTGTATGTAATGTGATGGAAATGTTATACTTGTGCTTTTCTTATAACTAATTTCTGTGTTCTATTTATGTGCTGTTCTAATAACCAATTTCTGTGTTCATGCAAGTGACTGATTGAACAAATCCTCACTTATCAATATCTGCAATTTGGCAGTACGCCCAGACCTTGTTTTGAGAACGAAAGATATCTCAGTTTTAAAGTCTCAGCTTAGAGAGAAGAAGCCTCGTGAGGTATTGGTCTGTCACATGTTATGAACCAGAATTGGTCGGTCACATGAATGAAACAAAACGGTAATGATTAATTAATTATGCTAAATCATGTAAATATGACGTCTGTGTATAGCCGTATATAAGACAACTGCTGGGACTGCCCGAGCAGAGCTTCTGACAGACGTTCACTATGGTGCATTAATTTTGTTGGAACCTCTTCAGCGCGTTCACAATAAACAATGATTAATTTAAGATTGACTTCGAGTATCCCTTTGTAAGAATTTCCACGACAGTAATATAAAAAAAAAATCTGGCCTAATAATGTAAGAAATAACACATAAAAAAACAAAATACTGCAAAGTTGCTCAGGAGCTAGAAGCACGGCTGGCGTATCTGTCGGAGCAATGTGAAGGTCAAGTGTTGTTATTGTGGGGGGGAACATAGTGCAGCATTTGGTGGATGCAGGGTGCAGAGAGAGGCTCAGAGATATAGAATCATTCATTATGTATCGTATGCAGAGGCTGTAAGACAGATTGGTGGAACTACAGTGCGGAATGATGGAGCTTCCATGGCTGCTCCTGTACTAAGTGGACCTAATGTCGGGGCTGGTGTTTCTTCTGGTCCTGGCATGGTTTGGAGAAATCAGAAATCTTGCGCTCATGAATGTGCTGTGTCAAAGGACACTTTGATAGTGATTAAAGTTAACCTTACCAATGAAAGCTATGAAGTTATCAACAAGACGCGGGTTGTGGAAAGCAGAAATGCCAGGTTGAAGGTTATTGTGGATACGGCAAAAGAGTTAATGGGGGTAATGTTACTGTTGAAATGGTTGTAGACATGCTGAATAGTCCTAAGGGTGGATTGTTTCAGCATAATATATACAGTTTAATGGGTTGGGTTGGGTTGGGGGGGGGGGGGGGGGGTGGTTGAAGTTATATATTTGTATATTTAAATTGTATTTTCTTTGTAGTACAGAATTAGGCAGACCATGATTGCTCGCACACTCCAGCACAGTAGGTGGCGGCATGCACCTTAAACATTTGCCTCATGCAGCGCGACACATCTCCTTCGCATAGAGTTGATCAGGATGTTGATTGTGGCCTGTGGAATGTTGTCCCACTCTTCAATGGCTGTGCGAAGTTGCTGGATATTGGCGGGAACTGGAACACGCTGTCGTACACGTTGATCCAGAGCATCCAAAACATGCTCAATGGGTGACGTCTGGTGAGTATGTAGGCCATGGAAGAACTGGGAAATGTTCAGATTCCAGGAATTGTGTACAGATCCTTGCGATATGGGGCCGTGCATTATCATGCTGAAACATGAGGTGATGGAGGCGGATGAATGGCACGACAATGGGCCTCAGGATCTCGTCACTGTATCTCTGTGTATTCAATTGCCATCGATAAAATACAATTGTGTTCGTTGTCCGTACCTTATGCCTGCCCATACCAAACCCCACGGCCACCATGGAGCACTCTGTTCACAACATTGACATCAGCAAACCGCTCACCCACACGACGCCATATACGCTGTCTGCCATCTGCCCGGTACTGTGAAACCGGGATTCATCTATGAAGAGCACACTTCTCCAATGTGCCAGTGGCCATCGAAGATGAGCATTTGCCCACTGAAGTCGATTATGATGGCAAACTGCAGTCAGGTCAAGACCCTGGTGAGGACGACGAGCACGCAGATGAGCTTCCCTGAGACGGTTTCTGACAGTCTGTGCAGAAATTCTTCAGTTGTGCAAACCCATAGTTTCAGCTGTCCAGGTGGCTGGTATCAGATGATCCTGCATGTGAACAAGCCGGATGTGGAGGTCCTGGGCTGACGTGAAAAAAAGATAAACGCAACATGTAAAGTGCTGGTCCCATGTTTCATGAGCTGAAATAAAAGATCCCAGAAATTTTCCATATGCAGAAAAATATTATATTACGAATATGTTGTGCACAAATTTGTTTACATCCCTGTTGGTGAGCATGTTTATCCTTTGTCAAGATAATCCATCCACCTGACAGGTGTGGCATATCAAGAAGCTGATTAAACAGCATGATCATTACACAGGTTCACCTTGTGCTGGGGACAATAAAAGGCCACTAAATTGTTTAGTTTTGTCACACAACACAATGCCACAGATGTCTCAAATTTTTTGAGGGAGTGTGCAATTGGCATGCTGACTGCAGGAATGTCTACCAGAGCTGTTTGCTTAGAATTGAATGTTCATTTCTCTACCATAAGCCACCTCCATCGTTTTAGAGAATTTGGCAAACGGCCTTACAACCGCAGACCACGTGTTACCACACCAGCCAAGGATCCACATCCGGCTTCTTCACCTGCGGGATAATGAGGGGGGCTGGGGGGGATTATTTATGTCTGTAATAAAGCCCTTTTGTGGGGGAAAAACTCAGTCTGATTTGGTAGGCCTATGCCCACCCATGGCTGTGCCCCTGCCCAGTCATCTGAAATCCATAGATAAGGGCCTAATGAATTTTTCAATTGACTGATTTCCTTATTTGCACTGTAACTCAGCAAAATCTTTTAAATTGTTGCAAGTTGCATTTATATTTTTGTTAAGTGTATATATGACTATTTTAGATTCACAATTCTTTATTACACAAGTTCTGATATCCCATACCTAACTTTTATTTTTTTGTATGATTGCAATCTGAATTATGCCTCTACTACCATTCATTCCAGTTAGACTGGTTTGGACTTCTCTCTGACCAATATGGCTGCCATTTTCACCCCATTCTGGAACTTTTAGAGTTTGGCATAGCCCCTCTAGTATTTCAATAGGCTCTCTATGGTTGATGTACTATAGACAGCACACACACCATTGTTACACTAAAACTTTTGCAGGGTATTGTTGTACAAAAAAGTTGCGATGCATACAGCCCATTTCAATTGGGGGTAGGAGGAAGAAAATACTTGTTTTCCAATAAAGTTCTTTATTTTTTGTTTTAAATAGACAAAAAAAACACATACATGTAAATAAAATGAAAAAGTGATTGTCCATATAGCCACATGTGCATATCAGTAAAGGTACATGTTACTGTAAACCATCTCTGAAGCCCACCAGGTAATAGAGACACTTTACCATCTTAAAATTATATATTTTTCCTCATTCCTAAATATCCTGAGATAAAGTTAAATTAAGCCAAATTAGAATAAATGCTGATACACACACGCAAACACACCTCTGCTTGGAGATTCATGATAGCATCCCCCACCCCCAGCAGCACACACAAAATAAATAAGTAAAAACAAAAATGGCTGACATTTTCTTTCCCAATTCCAAAGACTTGCTGACTGATACTGCCACAACATATTTTGAACAGAGATACAATCTTCCTACAGAAACCCACCAACATCAACCCATTCTCTAACAAAGACTACAGGCATAATTCTCAATGAAAGGAGGATAATAAAACAACAAACAGCAAACAGAGCAAACTATTAAGCTGCTAAACACATACAGCTAACTTTTTTTCTCTCTCCATACAGTTGGGCTCCACCAAAGACTAGTTGAGGTTTCTGGCTCTATCCTGCTTTGCAGAGGAGAACCTTGAGAAAGGGGTCTCTGAAGGGATTCTGTCCAGATGCAGGAGAACGGGTTGCCGCAGCATCGTTTCGTTGAGCGCTTTAGAATCACACACACTCCACTTTCAAACGACAGAGAACAACACCTCATAGTTACGGCTAAGCCAGCGAAAAGTTGAAACGCTGTTAAAATTTTAAAACTGGGTTTGGGCCACAGCTTAAGCTCAACCTGGGGTCCCCCAGAGAGAAGTCATTAGCGTTTCCATGATCACAAGTCTTTTTCTAAATTAAATCAAACCAATATGACGACACAAGCAATGATCCATCTGTAAGAGAACATTTTACGCGTCCAAGATGTCTGACATGCAGAAACACCATGTTGCAAAAAGTATCGAGTCGGTTTTCCTCGCACAAAAATGTAAGGGTGGAGAGAAGCCAGACAGAACCTCATCTTGGAGATAAATAAGTTCTGCTGTAAGTTCAGTGGTGTGTCGCTCACACAGATACCATGACAGGTGGAGGTCTTCAGTCGCCTGTTCAGTCAATGAAGGCTATAGGTGTGAGTGAACTAGAAAGAGGCGGCAAGTTGAAGTGAAACTTAACAAGTGAGAGATTAATTTATGGGCCTGATTTACCAAGTGCTTTCACCTGTGCAAAGTTGACACCTTTAAAAAAAAAAATTGTATACAGATAGTCAAACAAGGTCATAAGGTAGCATGTCATTTTTTGCTTTATTTTAGTCAATCCTTTCTGAAAATAACAGGTGCAGCCTTTGCACTGGTAGAAAACTGTGCACACCAGGCCCAACCTAAGTGTGCTTCGATTCTGAGAAGAAACTGAGGGGGAATACCACTTGCCATCTGTGGATAGAAAAAGTGAGAGGTTTAAAATACGTGAAGTAGTCCTTTCAGAACTGTCTCTCCGATGGGAGGAGAGGTCAGGGAGCACATGCGTCAGCCGTCCAGGTTCACAATTGGGACGCGTCACGACTCCTCCGTCCCAGAGTCATCTTCATCGTAGCAGCAGTCGTCTTCATCCTCCAGATCCTCGTCGTCATAGTAATCGTCATAGAAGAGATCGGAGCCCTCGTCAGGGGGCGGGGCACGAGTGCGGACACAGTATTCGGCCAGTGTGGTGGGGACCTTCACCCCGTCACGTTCCGCCTCAGCATTAGTGGCCAACACCTGCTTCCTGAAAGACAGTGAGATAGAGAGGATAAATAATTGTGTGTGTGTGCGCTGTACTCTCTGTCCTTGGTGTCTATCTCAAGGCCTTTAGACTGTTAAACAGCCATCACTAGCACAGAGAGGCTGCTGCCTACATACAGACCTGAAAATTGCCACTTTAATAAATGGAACATTAGTCATTTTAATAATGTCACTTTAATGTTTACATATCTTGCTTTACCCATCTCATATGTATATACTGTATTCTATACTATCTATTGCATCTTAGACTAAGCCACTGATAATGACATTGCTCATCCATATATTTATATATTCTTATTGCATTCCTTTACTTAGATTTGTGTGTATTAGGTTTTTGTTGTATAACTGTTAGATATTACTTGCTAGATATTGCTGCACTGTCGGAACTAGAAGCACAAGCATTTCGCTACACTCGCAATAACATCTGCTAACCATGTGTATGTGACCAATACATTTGATTTGATGTATGCAACACTTTGTCCTTTGTGTGTGTACCTACCGAATGATCTCTGCGTACTCTCTGTCCTTGCCCTTGCTGTCCCTCCACTTGCGGTACATGACGGAGGCATCCACATTGGCCGGGGAGAAGGTGTTGGGCTCGTTCAGCAGAGAGATGACACTCAGAAGGATGGTTCTACAGGAGACACAGGGTTGGATGTCAGAAAGAAGCACCAAGCAGTGTCTATCAATGTTAGCTGGTTGACTCATTGATCCTGCTCTGTGGGATAAAGGCTATTTCTCCAAAGTACAATTTCTGAAATATGTCAACCTGTCGATGTTGATATAAACCTCAAATGGTGCTGGTAAAAATAAGACCTACAACTTCTAATTTAAGAACTGACAGAAACAAATGTTTGTCAACATGACTTAATAGTATCCACATTACTGGGTCAGACAGAAAATAAACTAAAGTGTAACAGGCGTTCTGTTCATGATCCAGGAAGTCCTGGAGAGGTTCCACTGAAGCCAGATGGACAAGTGTCATGTGATCTGGGTATGAGTGACACAGCACAACAGGAGAGCGGGGGCGTAGAGGAGAGGGACAGAGAAAGAGGGGATGAAAAGGGAGCGTGATAGATAGACGGGAGAGTGATACAGTAAGCGGAGGGAGAGCAGGGGTGTATTAATTCCGCCGATTCTGTTGCAAAACGTTTCTTAAACAGAAGCAAACTGAAAGAAACAGAGGGGGAGGGAGGGGTGAGAGAACATGCAAGGAGAAGGGGAGGGGGTGAGAGAACATGCTGGGTGAGAAGGGGAGGGGGTGAGAGAAGAGGAGGGGTGAGAGAAGGGGAGGGGGTGAGAGAAGGGGAGGGGGTGAGAGAAGAGGAGGGGTGAGAGAAGAGGAGGGGTGAGAGAAGGGGAGGGGGTGAGAGAAGGGGAGGGGGTGAGAGAACATGCTGAGATGTGTACCTAACATTCTGGGTAGGGTTCCACCTCTCAGAGGGCAGCTCCCCACTCTGAGGATCATCAACTGGAGGGTGCAGAATGGATATACACACATCCCCATTCTAACAAGGGAGAGGCTAAAATTAATACAAACAAGTTTAAGATCACAAATTGCAGGTGTGACTAGGATTAGGCCACATAAAAAGATGGAGAGAAATTTAGATTAACACCACAAAATGTGTTTGAAAATTAATTACATGGAGTTTAATGTATTTTTCTAGAATTGGGTCAGTGATCTCTTCTTACCTCATAGATGTTGGGGTGCCACATCTTGGTGAGGAAACGGAAAGCAGGTGGTGAATAGGGGTAGTCAATGGGGAACTTGATACGAGCCTGTGGGACACAGGGAGAGAAGCAAATATGTCAGCAACATGTCCTAACATGCGTCTGTGGGGCCTAAACTACCTAACCGGATTCAATGGTAATCCTGATGTCGCAACCCAGTGCTGAGTAGACCATCCTAGAGAGCAACAACAGCGTGACCCTGACACAGGTTTGACACTAAACAGTACTGCTTGTCACTGCAGGCTGCATCAATAGAAAGCAGATGCGATGTCACGTTTTTCACGGGCCTAACGTTACTACTAACGGAAGCCAACAACGTAGTTGTCCATTAGTAATGATGGCTAGCTAGTGAACAATATAAACTAGGAAAATAGCATTTGTGTATGTTACATATTTGCAAAACAAGCTGACTTACCTTGAAATACCCTCCTTCATAGTGAGTGTTAGGAGGTCCAAAAATGGCCACTTCCCAATTGTATAAATCTGCCTCGTCAACCAATGTTATTCTGAAGCCCTCGACTGGCTCCTCTTGAAGGCTCTTCATTTCTAACATTAATGCTTTTTGTGAGCTTGCTACGTGAGTCGGACCATGTTGCGCCATGGTAAAATAGCAAACGAGCTAATCTTGTTAATGTTTGGCGGAGAACCTCGTTGTTTACTCGAACACAGTTAGCAACCAGCTAGCCACCTGATTCTGCAAAACAAAAACGTTTTCTTTGTTGCGATTTCGCGATGCGCACAAATACTAGTTAGTTAACCTTTATTTTGCTTCAAGTCGATGGATTTGTTGTGAAATCGCGCAATATGTTTTATCTGGCTAGTTATCAATATGAAATAGCTGAATTTAGAAGAGTTCATACTAAAAATAATAATGTTTTGGTATTTTAGTAGATAGGCTCACCGACCTAGCTAACTGCCGTGGAGCTAGCTAGTAGGTGCTAGCTATTGGTCCAATGAATATAAAAAATGTTACTTTGCTACTGATAGTTATACTAAAATAATTAGTTTTGGACCAGCCAAAGACTACAAACAATAATTATTCACCAACGACGTTTTTCAACTGCGAACATCTATGTCCCTGCTGACAAGTAATGTGAAGAGTGAAGCAGTCTCCTCCTCTCCTCTCAAAACGTTCAATAAGATTGCAGTGCCGTCTGGGAAATGTAGTTCCAATTAAACAGAACTTAACTTCTGTCAGCATTGCAAAAATGTTTCATGATATACATTTTAATCACCATGTTTATTGTAAAAGTATTCCAATTAATTGTGTATAGCAATGCATTTATGACATTATTTTCGGGGTTTTAAGAACTACACTCACTGCATTTCTGGAATACTATCAAATGGTGTGACGTTACGACAACACGAATGTTGTTTGTTTTGCTGTAAAGTGCCTTGCTTGGCCTTTTCGAGGCCAATTGATGTGTAAACTAAAATATGTCTATACGAAATACTTATAGATGGGGTGTAGTGTGCGGATTTCATTGATCATGATAAAATACTTTAGAAAAGCGCTGTTGTATGCCACCATCCCCCATTCTGCTCCAAACGAAACGACCAATCAGTTTATAATATGACGTTTACAAGCTGCGTCAGGGCTCAATGCAAGTCCCAGCGGTTGGCTTTAAATATACCTGAGAATTAAACAAATGCGAACAAAATCAATACGAAGTTTATTAGGAGAGAGGATCCCTTCGTGGTTTTCAAGTTAAATAATTATGTTTGTAATTTTCTTAACGTTTTTTCCCCTCAAATACATTACAGTTGTGTGCTGCGCACAAAAATAATTGTTCAGGTCCTATTTACGCGACGGAGAAGAGAACGGACCACAACAATTTGGGAACTCTTTTGCCATGGGTCCAATAAAGCATCGTCGGTCCCGTTCTACCTCTCGTAGTCGGAACCGGGATCGAAACAGGTCCAAAATAAGCAGATCACGATCACCCAAAGAGAAGAAAGGCCGGAGTCGGTCCATTGATCGGAACATAAAAACCCGGAGAATTGCGCGTTCTGAGAGCGGAAACTCGGACAGCAGTGGTGGATCTGCGAGGCGACAAGGACAACGGCCCCGTAGCAGAGACCATCCCGGGCCGAGAAGCGACTCAGACAGCGACATGAGACGTAAACTGAAGGGCAAATCAAAAGACAGATCCAGGTAAACGTTACAGGTTAAGCTATATTTAAAAAAAATGTACAGTGCATGTAGTTAGCAAAAAATGGCCCACATACTGTATCTGCAACTAAACGTTTTTCTATCTATCAGCTCTGACTCAGATGATCCAAAGGGGAGGAAGAAAGTAGAGAAAAAGAAGAGCAAAAGAGAAGACAAAGGAGAGAAGAAGATTGGCAGGAGCCAGTCCCAGTCCGACTCAGGGTCTAGTGCAGACGGGAAGAGATCGAGGGATGGGGGGAACATTGACCGGGAGAGGAGATGGCGGAGGAGTGCAGACAGAGGGAGCAGAAGCCCCAGCAGAGAGAGGGAACGACAGATGAGGGAGAGAACAAGGGACAGGGAGAGAATGAGAAGCCGAGACAAGGACCCAAGCCTATGTAAGGAGAAAAGTCGAGACAGAGAGAGAAGCAGCTGGAGGACTGAAGACCGTGGGAGAAGAGAAAGAAGCAGAGGGAAGGACCAAAGGGACAATGAGTGTAAGAGACGTCGCTCTGGCTCCTCAGACTCATCTAAGAGCTCTGGGTCGGATGGCGGAGCCCGTGGAGGCAGCCCGGGGTCTGGAGAGGCCGGGCCCTCGGTCCGAGATGAGAAGAAGAACCAGAGAGAGATGTTGAAGGCCCTGGAGACCCCAGAGGAGAAGAGGGCCAGACGACTGGCCAAGAAGGAGGCCAAGGAGAGGAAGAAGAGGGAGAAGATGGGCTGGAGTGAGGAGTACATGGGCTATACCAATGCAGACAACCCCTTCGGAGACAACAACCTGCTGGGCACCTTCAAATGGCAGAAGGTAAGACGGGGAGAGGAGAGTGATCACTTGAGAAATGGCTGTATATGGGACTATCAACCTCCTGCTTTTAGAAGTACAGTGGTTATCAGACCTTGCCTAAACAGCAGACTGATATCATGGTTACTCCATGAATATCAGCCGGAAAGAAGTTGCTGTAAAAAAAAGATGCAATAGTCTCTACAAGGCAGAATTTTGAATAAAATATTTACACTTATTTTACCGGTTGTACATGCTGTTGGTCCTTTTGGCTGTAAGAGGGGGAGATAAGGTATCCACAGGAAAGCGCTGTTTACCTGACTTTTTGGGGTGCCGGTAGGTTCTGTCGCTTGTATTATCAATCTGTTGTCGCATTACACGTGATGCACAATATGTAAACAAAAGCCGAATGTTGACGACCGAAGCACGTTTCCTCGCAATCAGCTGGAGGTGTTTGCCATTCGGTTAGGCTCGGCCATATTGTGCAAGTGTTTGTCACGTGTGAATTGCATCAGTATTGAAAATAAAAACTGGAAATACAAATGATATACAGAACAGCGTACTGAAGGTCGGGTTGATAACATTATTCTGTGGGTATTTTGTCTCACATTCCTACCAGCAAAAGGAACAACCACACGGATAACCGGTAAAGTGTAATTTTATTCAGCATTCTGGCTTGTAGAGGTCATGAAAGGAAATGTTCCTGATCCAAATGCTCATTTCTGCCTGACTTAGAATTATATGCAATTCAACGTTGGGTCTTCATGCTTCATCAGACCAGTCTCTGAGGAATATGTGTGTTTCTGTATGTTGTTGTTGTGGTCAGGCTCTGGACAGGAAGGGGATTGGCCATCTGGGTGAGAAGGACCTGAAGGACAGGAACAAACGTATCCAGGAGGAGAATCGCAGAGAACTGCAGAAGGTATGCTTCCATGCAACACAAGAGTTTTCTGGGTCTGCACTATAAATCAAGGATAGTTGAAATCGGTGTTAAATTTACTCTACTGGGAGTTATCTTAACCCTCGAGAGTGATACACTCCCTGGAGTTAGTGTTGATAACTGGAGTTTATTGGGTTGGAGTACTTTTAACTCCAGGGCATTTCCACTGAAAAGGACCATGAGCACCAACGTGAAGTTCATAGCAGCATGTCAAATGAAAGCTAAGTGTCTATACTTTTGGGAAATGAAGGCATAGATGCATTTTTCAACCATTTTCCATCTTAAAAAATTAGGCATAAGTAATGGCTTTGATTTCTGGATAAACAGATGGAAAAGGGGTCTAAAAAACATCTACCAGAAAAAGTATTAAAAGGTATCAGAAATGTATCAAAACACAATAATGTTGACGTAAAGACCCCTGCCAACTAATATCAACACTTATATTTAGTTTTGGATAAATTGTTTACCTTCTGTAAGTTAAAGAAATATTGCCTTGTGACTCGAAATTCCATTACCAAAAACCCACATATCTTAAAAATATTTTCTAATTTCTCTCCCTCATGAGGAAGGAGGATAATGAAAGTACACAGAAGTAACAAGTAATGGTAGACCTTCCAATTAGTTAGTGATTTTACTGATATCAATTTTGTTTATGAATTATTATGTGATTCAAACTCGTAATTCCGTGACCAAATTGGTAAAGGAATTACCAGAAAATGTGTTCCGGAATTACTGCAACTGAATTGGCTACAATGGGAAATCATAATAGTTACCAATCACATTTGGGTCACCTGCTACTGTCCTCTCTTCCACTGGCATACTTTTATGTTCAGCTCATAACTGTTTTCTTTGTCTTTCTGGTGGTCAAACCAAGAGTGTTAAAACAGTCTGAGTCTGGACAACCCCTCTATCTCTCTCTCTCTCTCTTTCTCTAGTTAATGTCACCTATACCAGGTCTTACTGACACCTACCCATGAGCCCCCTCTCTTTCCATTTACTTTAACCAGCATCTTCACTTACTGAGCACCGACCGACACCGGACGTCCATGGACTTTTAAAAAGTAGTTGAACCAAATCTGAACCTATCATAGACGTATGTTTCATAAGTTTGGATAGCACAGTACTGTACAATGAGTAGAGTACAGTAGAGTATAGTATATTGTACTGTACTGAACTATACTCTACTGAACTCTGCTCTACTGTGCTCTAATGTCCATAATTATGCATTTCTGTGTAGTACAGATCAGGGACACATGATGTAATTCCGATTACTGTAATGCCGGTACCAGGTGTAAATCCACTTCACTCACTGTAGTTCAATAACCAAAATATATATTTTCACACTCAAGGTGCCATGTCATAGCTGATAGCAGACATAATTTAATCTTAATTCGGACCAGATATTTAACATGTTTTTGGAAAACGTGGTCTCATACAAACCTGAGGGAGACTTTACCGTAATTCCGTTACCAAAGTTTGCATCTGCACAGTTCTTCCACTAAATTCGTTTTTGTAAATGTTTTAGTGGAAATTGTTAAAAGTAGCCCTTGTGCATAGAGTTGTATGGTTTGAAAATCTTTAAAATCAATGGTTTTTGTTTGGCATACATTTTGAAGTGAAAAACACAGAACGATCCGATGTCATTGTCAAAACTACTGTCATGTTTAACACAGCTAGCACAGTGGGTTTTTGACTGTACTCTACAGGCTTATTCGATGCTAGCTAACTGCTTTGTTATTGTGGACATCATGCATTTAGCTAGCTTTCTAATGGAGGATAATAGTACCTAGAGCCGATGCCCATGTGAAAATCACAAATGTAGCGTACAGCTGAATGTGCTTAAAAACCTGGATTTCTGACCGGACTTTACAGGCTTGTTAACATGGTTGTTAGTATTGTATTGTTATTCAATCTCAAATTGGTAGTTTTAGCTTTTACTTGATTCACTTCTTGATCAGAGTCTTGATAAAAAAAAGCCATGAGTTTGTTTCAATATGGCTGCGGCCACGTCTCTCTAAGGGTGCGTTCGCAAATTCGCTCTGGCTATCTACTCCGATTTCAGAGCACTCTCGTCTGAATGTGCCAGAGCGCAGAGTAACTGATGAATTTACGAACGCTCAACAACAGTTGAATATGGCTGGTATCAGTAAACATCGGCAAAAAAGCGTAATTAAATTGTTGCCAGCAGCACAGTTACAGTCACCAAGGCCCTGGATAACATAAAAACAGCCTAACCAGCTCTGCTAGGCTAGGGCGAGTAAAATGGTCAGAGTGAGGTGTGTAGCTAGCCAACGTTAGCTTGGGTGCTTGACTGTGAGGTCAGAACGCTCGGATCAACTCCAAAGCGTCCAGTGTGCGCTCTGAACGCTCCGAGAGCGAAACAGACAATCTGACAAACGCTCTGAATTTACGTACGCCCGCAGCGCACTCTGTCACTCCAGATTTAATTTACGAACAAGCGGTCACTAGCTAGCACAGCCACAAAGTTATGCCACAAAGTTATAAAATCAGATTTAAACCTAACCTTAACCACACTGCTAACCCTAATGACTAACACTAAATGAAGACAAATAAATGTTTTTTTTATTTCATTAATTTTTACAATATAACCAATTTTGACTCTGTAGCTGGCCTATCTAAGGGGAAATCGCTCATTTCTGCCTCCAGGACAAGACTCATGACAATAAACGGCAACCTGCTACTCTGACAGGCATTCTAAATGCAAGTTGTGAGTGATGTAAAGGTGTGCTGGATATCTTCCTGCAAGTTGGCTTCCAACAGATTGGATATCACATTGCAAACTACCACTATGTGACACATGAATAAATATTCATATAACTAACCATAGAGATATGTACTCTGCTGTACTAACTGTAAGTTGCTCTGGATAAGAGTGTCTGCTAAATGACTAAAATGTCAATGTAGTTGATTGTTAATTCAAAACAACACAGAAAAGTGTAACATAGCATGGGAGTTGATTTAAAAACTACACTGAAAATACTAAAATTGCAGTTAAATTGAACCAACTCAGTGAGAGTTGGATATTTACTCCTTTTAGTGTCCAAACAACATGACCAGAGTAGTTTTAATACAAAATGGGGGTGGGACCATATAAACCCCAAAATAGTGTTACATTTGAGTCCATTGGAGTTTAACGAACTCATGCGATTTTACTGTCTGTCTGTGTGTTTGATAGATTTAGAACAATGTGGCGAGAAAGAGAAAGCCATGCAAGCGCAGGACCTGTGTGTGTGTAACTGTGTGTGTAACTGTGTTTGTGTGTCTGCCTGTGTGTAGGTGAAGCAGCTGCGTCTGGAGAGGGAGAGAGAGAAGGCCATGAGAGAGACGGAGCTGGAGATGCTGCAGAGAGAAAAGGAGGCAGAGCATTTCAAAACCTGGGCAGAACAAGAGGACAACTTCCACCTGCACCAGGCCAAGCTACGGTTAGTGGTGCCACCTTCATTACTGTCCCTCTGTAAACCCTGACTCTCAATAACCTCTCACATACAGTGCATTTGGAAAGTATTCAGACCCCTGGACTTTTTTCACATTTTGTCACGTTACAGCCTTATTCTAAAATTGATTAAATTGTTTTTTGTCCCCTCAATCTACACACAATACCCCATAATGACTAAGCAAAAACAGGTTTTTAGAAAAATTGCCAATTTATTCAAAATCAAAAACGGAAATATACATTTACATAAGTGTTCAGACCTTTTACTCAGTACTTTGTTGAAGCACCTTTGGCAGCGATTACAGCCTCAAGTCTTCTTGGGTATGACGCTACAAGCTTGGCACACCTGTATTTGGGGAGTTTCTCCCATTCTTCTCTGCAGGTCCTCTCAAGCTCTGTCAGGTTTGATGGGGAGCGTTGCTGTACATCTATTTTCAGGTCTCTCCAGAGATGTTTGATCGGGTTCAAGTCCGGGCTCTGGCTGGGCCACTCAAGGACATTCAGAGACTTGTCCCGAAGCCACTCCTGCGTTGTCTTGGCTGTGTGCTTAGGGTCGTTGTCCTGTTGGAAGGTGAACCTTTGCCCCAGTCTGAGGTCCTGAGCGCTCTGGAGCAGGTTTTCGTCAAGGATCTCTCTGTACTTTGCTCTGTTCATCTTTCCCTCGATCTTGACTAGTCTCCCAGTCCCTGCCGCTGAAAAACATCCCCACAGCATGATGCTGCCACCACCATGCTTCACCGTAGGGATGGTGCCAGGTTTCCTCCAGACGTGACGCTTGGCATTCAGGCCAAAGAGTTCAATCTTGGTTTCATCAGACCAGAGAATCTTGTTTCTTGTGGTCTGAGAATCTTTAGGTGTCTTTTGGCAAACTGCAAGCGGGCTGTCATGTGCCTTTTATTGAGGAGTGGCTTCCGTCTGGCTCTAGGAAGAGTATTTTTATAGTTCCAAACTTCTTCCATTTAAGAATGATGGAGGCCACTGTGTTCTTGGGGACCTTCAATGCTGCAGACATTTTTTAGTACCCTTCCCCAGATCTGTGCCTCGACACAATCCTGTCTCGGAGCTCTATGGACAATTACTTCGACCTCATGGCTTGGTTTTTGCTCTGACATGCACTGTCAACTGTGGGACCTTATATAGACAGGCATGTGCCTTTTCAAATAATGTCCAATCAATTGAATTTACCACAGGTGGACTCCAGTCAAGTTGTAGAAACATCTCAAGGATGATCAATGGAAACAGGATGCACCTGAGCTCAATTTCGAGTCTCATAGCAAAGGGTCTGAATACTTATGTAAATAAGGTATTTCTGCTTTTTATTTGTAATACATTTGCAAAAATGTCTAAAAACCTGTTTTCGCTTTGTCATTATGGGGTATTGTGTGTAGATTGATGAGGATTTTTATTTATTTAATCAATTTTAGAATAAGGCTGTAACATAACAAAATGTGGAAAAAGTCAAGGGGTCTTAATACTTTCCGAAGGCACTGTAGTTCCATTTACTCACTCAAAAACAGCCTGGTCCAAAAACAACGCCTCGCTGCTCCGGTGTTTGCCGATGTGGATTTGTGTGTAGCCCTCTAACTAATAAATGTTTGTTTGTTTAGGTCTAAGATCCGTATCCGTGACGGCCGTGCTAAGCCCATAGACCTGTTGGCTAAGTACATCAGTGCTGAAGATGACGACCTGGCTGTGGAGATGCACGAACCTTACACCTTCCTCAATGGACTCACTGTCACTGACATGGACGACCTGCTTGAAGATATCAAGGTGTGTGTGCGCTTACTGTCTTTCTAGAATAAATGGAGCTTGTTGGTTGAGAAATTGTGGTGTGTGGAGGAAGAGAGCAAGAGAGTGTTTGTTTGTGACCCTGTGTGTTTTCCCTGTAGGTGTACATGGAGCTGGAGCAGGGGAAGAATGTAGACTTCTGGAGGGATATGACCACCATCACAGAGGATGAGATCAGCAAGCTCCGGAAACTGGAGGCATCTGGAAAAGGCCCAGGTGCACCACCTCAACCTCTCATAGGTCCAGCTACATGGACATCTCAGTATTGCTCTCTCTCATTGGCCCATATTCTGTCTTGGCTGTCCACCATCAACCTCTATACTTTATGCCTACGCCTAGGCATTTCTCCCCTTGTCTCTCTCTCCTAGGGTGTGTCAGAAATGGCACCCTGGTTAAAAGTAGTGTAATATATAGAGCATTTTCTGGTGCAGCCCTAGTCTCTCTAGTGATGTTTTCTGTTTCGTTAACTGTCTCTCTGTTCTCCAGGTGACCGTCGTGATGGCATTAACACGTCAGTGAGCACCGATGTTCAGATAGTGTTTAAGGGAAAGACGTACAGCCAGCTCCAGGCGCTGAACCTCAACATCGAGACTAAGATCCGAGCTGGGGGATCCAATCTGGACATAGGCTACTGGGAGAGCTTGATGCAGCAAGTCAGGGTCTACATGGGCCGAGCACGGTGAGGACCGGTTGTTTGTGTGTGTAGAGCATGGCGCTTGCAACGCCAGGGTTGTGGGTTCGATTCCCACGGGAGACTAGTACAGGGAAAAGTACAGAAATGTATCCACTCACTACTGTAAGTCGCTCTGGATGAGAGCGTCTGCTATATTACTAACATGTTTTTAAAAATGTAAATCCCTATCTGTGTTGTAGGTTGAGAGAGAGGCACCAGGACGTGTTGCGTCAGAAGCTGTTCAAGCTGAAACAGGAGCAGGGAGTGGAGAGTGAGCCTCTCTTCCCCATCATCAAAGAGGAGCCTGAGGAGGAGGCTGTGTGAGTACACTCACGCACACCATCAACCTCTTTCTACGCACGCACACACACTCACACACACACACTCACACACACACACACACACACACACACACACACACACACACACACACACACACACACACACGCTCATGTACACAAGGTTTGACCTTTGCCTCCTCTGTTTCTCATTCACAGGACCGAGAGCGAGAAAGACACTCCCTCAGAGGTGCCTGGCCCCTCCTCTTCCTCCCCTTCCATCAATCAGAAGAGAGATACAGAGGAGAAGGATGAGCAAGTGGCGGGCCCATCCACGGAGGGAGACGGGGATGGAGAGGAGAAGGGTGAGGTGGTAGAGGCTGTTCTGACAGAGGAGGATTTGATCCAGCAGAGCCAGGCAGAGTATGACTCTGGCCGCTACAGTCCCACACTGCTGCTTCCCTCGGAGCTACCGCTGGACACACACACCATCACACCTGACGAAGACACACACAAACTACACCTCTCACGCAGACAGCTCGCCGTCACAGGTAAGAGGCTTTGCATACCCACACCCATATTCATACATACAAAAACGCTCAGTCATTCTTACAAGGCCTATCTCTACCCATTTGTCAAATTAATCAATCTTTCTCTCTCTGCTTACCCCTTGTTCTCCAGGTGATGCCAATGAGAATGCAGAGGATGAGTTTGTGCGTCGCGCCAAACAGGGCATGGGTGGGGACGAGGCTCAGTTTAGCGTAGAGCTTCCCCTCACAGGGAAGATGTACCTGTGGGCTGATAAATACCGTCCCCGGAAACCTCGCTTCTTCAACAGGGTCCACACAGGCTTCGAGTGGAACAAATATAACCAGACCCATTACGACTTCGACAACCCTCCGCCAAAGATCGTCCAGGGCTACAAGTTCAACATCTTCTACCCGGACTTGATCAACAAACGTTCCACACCGCAGTACTTCCTAGAACCCAGTCCCGACAACAAGGACTTTGGGGTTCTGCGGTTCCATGCGGGCCCGCCATACGAGGACATTGCCTTTAAGATCGTTAACCGCGAGTGGGAGTACTCTCACCGCCACGGGTTCCGTTGTCAGTTCGCCAATGGGATCTTCCAGCTCTGGTTCCACTTCAAGAGGTACCGCTACAGGAGATAGAACCGGCTGAGTTTAGAACCTCAACAGACCAACACCAGTCCTGGGCCTAGACCCCAATCCGGACCAGGAACCTCAAACTGCAAGGTTTTAACCATAGAAATGGAATGTATAGATCAGACATCACATCAGTTGGGATCATCTGTAAGGTTAATATGTATTCTAGCTGTTAATGTTTAGTCTGAAGGCCTCAAAAAAATAATTGACACGCTATGGATCTACTTCTCTGTGTTATTACTATGGCAGCCCTGCCCATTCTGTTGTGTCACAAAGAATGGTTTGTATTTTTAGTTTGATCAGATGGTGATTTTCAATGTACCTGTCTCTGAAATTACATATTAAAGATTATTTTCCTAGCTGGCTTCCATTTGGTGCCATCAGAGCTGTGAGGCAAATATTTGACAACATTTCTATTTTCCTAAGAGTAGCATTAAGTATGCCTCAATCAGTCAGGAAGAGGATGTCAACAAATCATAAGATAGTAAACTGTCACTTTTACCATTGGCTAAACATAATGTTGACCTATTTTCAATCTTAGGAACAACAGCTGTTCTATTTAGGACTAATTAACCCCCAATGTTAGCACATTCTTAGCAAGTCCACTCTTGCCCCAGATGGAAACCAGTCAAGCCTGTTGGCTATTCTATACACACACATTGGAGACGCCATAAATCGTTCAGGTAGAAAGAGTTTTAATAACATAAACAACACTGATACAATACAGTTAACAGGATCCTGAGAAGGCACCTTAGGCTAGTGGCCCAATCCTCAAAAAGGGCTTTAGTTTATTATTTTTTTTGATACCCCTACCTGAGGAATAACAAAGCTCAACCATGTTTTTCCATATCTCTAAGGTCTCCCATATATGAGATGTATGGTTGTGTAAAAATATTTTACTGCAAAAGTGGTTACATTTATAGATATTGTGACACACCCCTTAACTCAAACAGTGTAGAATAATGTCAGGCTGGAGGGGTAACCCAATATTGCAAGCTCTGATATTGCTAAAATTTGGAATACAAGCAGTCAATTTTCTACCCAAATAAACAGCATTAGGATATCTTAAATAATTTTTGAAATATAAACCTGTAGACACAGATCTATACAATAGGCAGAAATATCAACTAGCAATAATTATGATGAATGTAAACTTAGCTTTTTGGTAGCTGTTTTTCAGAATTGTGTACAACACTCATACCTATTAAAACTGTTGGTGTAAATACATTTGATTCTGAATCCAATATGGCCAACATTATTAGACTCAACACCTTCGCCCTTATTCATACGGCTCTTGGTATATCTATGATTGGCACTGCCATTGTGTCTGAATAGCCGAATCCAACTAGTTTTTCAATGTGTGTTCATGTTTTAATCTCATTCACACAGCATATATACAATGGGCAATTCCACAAAATATAATAACAAGCCTTTCAAGACACAAGCACACAGTAGTGTTTATTTTGGGGGATTTTAGGCTGGGTATCTGTATAAGCACTTTGTGACATCTGCTGATGTAAAAAGGGCTTTATAAATACATTTGATTGATTATAAAAATATTATATATATCATTATTTGGCAACCGTTAAAACACTCTGTTCTAATTAAAATGAGTTTCCCAAATAAAAACTTCACTTTCATCCTTTGCATACTGTTCAGTCACAGTAAGTGTTGGATACAGTCAAAGTATGACCCATTTAGTTGTAACCAAAAGTATTTTCCAATCGTTCTGAACAGAACCCCTATTTTTTTCGTTCCGTTCAGACCAGAAAATAAAGTTCTGAACCGGTTCGAGACCCAAAAAAGTAACGGCTCATATAGTTCATTTTTCGTAATTTTTTAAACCTGTGAAATCAACAGGTTTTACAGAATAGATCATTAATTTACTCGACCCATTAGCACGGCTAGAGAAGCTTGCTATGGAATGGGTGGTACGAGATGCAACTGACATTTCAGCGGTGGGGAGAGAGAGTGGTGGACATGGAGGGGGCTTGGCTTGAAGCGCTGAACATGAAGTGAACTCGAATGTGTTTAGGCTATTACTAGCATTATAATTACAGAATTATATACTAGACATTAGGAATATTTGTAAAGACCACTATTAACCGGTTCTCAAGATTAGAAAATAACAGTTCTGTTCCAGAACACTAGAGATCACTTTAGTTATGTGTTCTGTTTCCATTCCTCCATTAACAGGGGAGGTTAGCATGTCTTTGGGGTATGATCTTTCAGTAACTGCCCAAATAAAGGAAAAACCAACATAAATTGTTTTAATAGGGCTTTGGGCCACCATGAGCCACCAGAACAGCTTTAATGCACCTTGGCATAGATTCTACAAGCATCTGGAACTCTATTGGAGGGATGCTACACCATTCTTACACAAGACATTCCATCAATTGGTGTTTTGTTGGTGCCTCTGGCACCACTCTGGAATCTCCCATAAGAGTTTAATTGGGTTGAGATCTTGTGACTAAGACACACAAACACACCCTTTAAACCCCATATGCTCCTTTAAAACCCCTCTTTCAAAGTCATTGAGCTCTATGGTAGCCAAAATAATGGGCAACTGAGCCTTTTTATTCACGACCCTAAGCTTGATGGGATGTTAATTGCTTAATTAACTCAGGATCCACACCTGTGTGGAAGCACCTGCTTTCAATATACTTTGTATCCCTCATTTACTCAAGTGTTTCCTTTATTTAGGCATATACCTGTATATATATATATATATATATATATATATATATATATTTTACGATTGAGGGATTCTACAGTGTGTAGTATAGTATTCTACAGTATACTACAAAATTCAAAGTAAGTACCACACACGATTGAGGGATACTACAGTGTGGAGTATAGAATTCTATAGTAGCGTATTCTTAATCATGGTCCTGGGACCCAAAGAGGTTGCACATTTTAGTTTTTGCCTTAGCACTACAAACCTGATTAAAATCATCAAAGCTTGATGATGAGTTGATCATTTGAATCAGCTGATTAGTGCTAGGGCAAAAACACAAATGTGCAACCTTTTGGGTCCCCAGGACCAGGATTAAGAAACACTGTTCTATAGTAGACTACAATATCATATAGTAAGCACCATACGATCAAGGGAAACTACAGTGTGTAGTATAGTATTCTACAGCAGGGATGGGCAACTTTGATGGGAGTGGGGGACACAAAAAAGCTCAACTCATGAGGGGCCACAGTTGCTCTCGGGTCTGCGTACCCACAATCATACCCGCCATCCCCACCACCACCACCACATTGAGAGCTAAATATTTTAGTGGCCCCCCTCTTGACAGCGGAGATAATCTTTTATGATTCAGAGTTAATTTAATGCAATTCTACACATTTTCCCATGGGGTGTAGAGAAAATGTTGCAGCTTTAAAGCAAGTTTGCTGCAATTCTACTCATTTTGCCAAGAGGTGGAGAGAAGATTTTGCTATTATATAACTCCTTTTGTGCAATTCTACTCATTTTGTTTTACAGCTCATTTCCTGCAATCCTAAAAAAATTTTTCCATAGGGTGGAGCTAAATGTGTGCAGTTTTTAAATATGATATCTGAGTGAGACTGACTAACAAAATAAACATTTTTGAAACAATTATGGAAGGTAGGCTAGAGATGATTTTGCTCTCATTCAAGTTTGCCCTTTGCTTCCAGAGGCTCCGATGAGAGCAGAGGAAAGGCTGCAAGAGTCTGTTGGTGTAACAAAACAGAAACAAGCAAGTATTCCTGTTTCATGCAAACCATTTCTTTAATATCCTTGAATAGGACATCTTATAAATAACACTGATATTATTCTTAAACAACACACACAACATCGAGAGAATTGTACAAGAAAATGTAGTTCTGAGAGAGTCCAGTAGAGGATGCACTCCTTCCGAACAAATCAGCCAATGACCACAGGGTTTGAGTTCCACTGGATGGCGCTTGTGTACCAGCCCACAACACCAAACAACAAGAGGAGCAAATGCAATCAATGCTGTACAGTAAGCCTAAATTAAAATACTTTCATTTCTTAAGATCTAATATGTTTGTTTTTGTCGCGACAGGGGACAGAGAACCTTTGAGGAGTAAAAAGTGTCCCGGCACCAGTAGGTCATAGGTCATACAGTAGCCTACCCGATTGGAGTTGAGTGGAGACTAGTGTGGGCGGACTGGAGCTCCGACATCACATAAAATACTTTTTTTATCCAAAACTACTGATTTCAGCACCCAAAGAATAGCCCACAATTACACACAACATTGTTCTGTGTAATTGCGGGCTATTCCTTGGGTGCTGAAATCAGTCGTTTTTGATAAAAACGTCATTATTGTGATGTCGGAGCTCCAGTCTGCCCACACTAGTCGCCGCTAAACTCCATCGTAAATCATGGAGTTGAGTTTAGTCAGCTAACAGTAGCCTAGGCCTAGCACACACACACCCACACACAGTAGAAAATAAGGTTTTACGTGAGTTGTAGCAACGACACACACAGTAGAGAAGGTTTAGTCAAGTAGAGCACCATACCATCATAGCACCAACATAATACAATAGATTAGAGCATTGGCATTCTAGATGCACGAGAACAACTAGATATGTTAATCTCTAATCCAGTGGTCATTAACCCAGGACCTGGAAGGTGTGCAGTGGTGTACAGGTTCAAGGTGTGCAGGCTTTTGTTCCAGCCCAGCAATAACACACATGATATCATTTATCAAGACTTTAATTAGTTGATCCAGGTGTGTTAGTGTTGGGTTTGAACAAAAGCCTGCACCCACACACCCAGTAGCCAGGACCAGGGTTGGTGACTACTGCTCTAGTCTCTCTCTAGGCTGGTTTCTCAAGCTTCTGGTGTCACTCTCTCACTTCTAAAGTGTGGCGTCAGTTACATCAGCAGCAGGACAATAGACATTGGCTCAATCGGAACAACAGAGTAACAACAGGCTCAGTCACTGGTCCTTTGTGTTTGTGTGCTCATCTAATGCTCAACCCCACTGGTTATCCCTTCTTGAAAACGGTCAAGTTTTGAGGCTGCAAATTTACGCTGCTGAACACAGCTCAGGTGGATAAGGTGCGTTACCCAAACATGGTGGGAAACACTTTTAAAGGTACTGTAGACCAATGGTTCAGCAGGACTGTGATCCATGAGGACCAGAGTTGTGCAACTATTCTGTAGTCCACCAATCAGAAGGCACAGGAAGAGAAGAGAGCTGCTGCTGCTGGTGGAAGAGTTCTGACCACTAGTTGGCTGAGCAATTACAGGAAGTCACTCCTGACTGGTCCGTCTCTTCTCCAGTTTCATTTTGAGCTCCTCTGTGAGGCCTAAGGAGAGAGGAGTGAGACCTCTGTAGTATGAGTATGCTTGAATTCATGGATACATTGATCAGGACACATGCCACTCACTTTGTGCGAGGAGTGGGGAGGGGGAGAGAACGAGCCGTCTCATTGGGCTGCTGGGTGATGACGGTACTGGTGATGTCACAGCCGACAGGATACGGCGGTCGGGAGCGGGAGACCTGGGTAGGGGTTTCCATCGCTCTACACCAGGACAAACAGAGCGGTTAGTGTGTGTGTGTTTGTGTGTTTGTGTGTGTGTGGTGTAGGATTTCTGGGTACCTTGTTTGGGGGGTAGGGCAGGGGCTTTGGGTAGTGGGCTGGAAGGGGCACAGTGTAGGATTCTCTCTCCATTCTCATCATTGGACGAAACAAACGCTGAACGCGGAAAAAAAAAAAAGACACAAATATCAATAAACTACATGAACATTGAACAGAACCTAAGATACTGTATCTCCCAGGATTTCAAGCAACACTGTGTGTAAGTGAAAATGTGTTAAGGATTCAAGTATGTCTGTGTGTCTCACTGATGTTCTCCTCATAAGGTTCCTCCAGAAGAAAAGGCTGTAGGGTTCCTGCTGTCTTCTCCACCAGAGCATCGATGACGTCATGAAGCGTAGCACAGGGAATCTAGAGAGGGAAAACAGAGTTAGGAGCCATGGAATAGCAAGATATGAGGCAAGACAACAATGTAGCATGTGTTTATATGCCTGTTGAAACAATGTGTCTGGGAGTGTGTTGGACTTACTGGGTTCTCAACGTCTATCACATATCCTCCCTGCTCTCTCTGAGTCACACGATAGTGTCTGAACACTGACCTGAGAGAGAGAGCGCAATTGATGGATCAAATCATTAAGAAAAATGCTTGCAGATCTAGGTGTGTATACCTATGCTGAGTGGCCATTACCCGTTGAGATCCTGGCGAGTGGTGACAGCCAATGAGGATCCGTCTCTGCCGGGCCTCAGCAGCATGTTGCCACAGTCTGGATGTCTCTCTAACAGAACTTCTGCCTCAGTCCTCGACACAGGCCGGAAACACCTAGAGACACACACACAAACATACATATACCGCAGTGTCATATATACACACACACACACACACACCTAAGTGTAACACACCTGCATTCACTTCAGTGTCAGCAGTGTGTGTGTGTGTGTGTGCGCGACTCACGATGGGATCTCCCCCAGTAGAGGTACTGATAGGGGGGAGGGGGGAGCGCGGGTGGGGGTGCGTGCTGCTCTGCGTCTGTTCCTCTCTCGGTCCACCACCTCTTTCAGCATCTGCACCTGCCCCGGCAGCAACGTCAAACAGCTGGGCACACTCAGCTACAACAGCCAATCACACAGGGGGTTACTGACAGGTCAGGGAGCAACCACCAATCAGACAGGTTTATACTGTGATGTAGGGTGTCTGATACTTACATCTATGACAGACTGGAGGAAACCCTTCCACAGCTCTCGAGCCTCTAGATTGGCAACCTGGATAAGAGGAGAACAGAGAAGAGGTTGTTACTCTCTGGCTGTGTGTGTGTGTGTGTGTGTTTGTGTGTGTGTGTGTGTGTCTGTGTGTCTGTGTGTCTGTGTGTTTTATTACTGTGAGTTTTGTCTCTCCATCCTTCATGCGCAGTATGAGTCTAGCTGCCTCAAGGTTTCTGTCTCGGCTGCAGTCGTCTTTCAGTGAGACAAAGCCACTGAGATCCATCTTCTCCACATACTGCAACAGATACACAGATAAACATAAATTAACATGTACAATAACTCATCCCTGAAGATATACAAAGTGTTTAACACACACACACACACACAGAGCACTTACGTGAGTGTCCTTGGCATTATTAAAGAAGAAGAGGGTGTTCCCACACAGACACGTCCACAGCCGCCGAGAGATCTGGTAACACACATGGACAGAGATACACAGACAGAGGTACAAAGAGAATTAGAGCTTGAACTGTTTAATATTTTAATCGAAAACTTCAACATCGATCATGGTTATAACATGAATTGTATTACATACAGTACCGGTCAAAGGTTTGGACACACCTACTCATTCCAGGGTTTTTCTTTATTTTTACATTGTAGAATAATAGTGAAGACATCAAAACGATGAAATAACACATATGGAATCATGTAGTAAACAAACAAAAAAAGTATTAAACAAATCAAAATAGATTTTGTATTTAAGATTCTTCAAATAGCCACCCTTTGCCTTGATGACAGCTTTGCACACTCTTGGCATTCTCTCAACCACCTACATGAGGTAGTCACCTGGAATGCATTTAAATTAACAGGTGTGCCTTCTTAAAAGTTAATTTGTGGAATTTCTTTCCTTCTTAATGCATTTGAGCCAATCAGTTGTGTTGTGACAAGGTAGGGGGGTATACAGAAGATAGCCCTATTTGGTAAAAGACAAAGTCCATATTATGGCAAGAACAGCTCAAATAAGCAAAGAGAAACGACAGTCCATCATTACTTTAAGATATGAAGGTCAGTCAATACGGACAATTTCAAGAACTTTGAAAGTTTCTTCAAGTGCAGTCGGAAAAACCATCAAGCGCTTTGATGAAACTGGTTCTCATGAGGACCGCCACTGGAATAGAAGACCCAGAGTTACCTCTGCTGCAGAGGATAAGTTCATTAGAATTACCAGCCTCAGAAAAGTCACAGACACATCTCAACATCAACTGTTCAGAGGGGACTGTGTGAATCAGGCCTTCATGGTCGAATTGCTGCAAAGAAACCACTACTAAAGGACACCAATAAGACGAAGAGACCTGCTTGGGCCAAGAAACACGAGCAATGGACATTAGACCGGTGGAAATGTGTCCTTTGGTCTGGAGTCCAAATTGGAGATTTTTGGTTCCAACCGCCGTGTCTTTGTGAGACGCGGTGTGGGTGAACGGATTATCTCTGCATGTGTAGTTCCCACCGTAAAGCATGGAGGAGGAGGTGATATGGTGTGGCGGTGCTTTGCTGGTGACATTGTCTGTGATTTATTTAGAATTCAAGGCACACTTAACCAGCATGGGTACCACAGCATTCTGCAGCGATACGCCATCCCATCTGGTTTGGGCTTAGTGGGACTATCATTTGTTTTTCAACAGGACAATGACCCAACACACCTACAGACTGTGTAATAGCTATTTTACCAAGAAGGAGAGTGATGGAGTGCTGCATCAGATGACCGGGCCTCCACAATCCCCTGACCTCAACCCAGTTGAGATGGTTTGGGATGAGTCGGACGGCAGAGTGAAGGAAAAGCAGCCATATGTTCAGCATATGTGGGAACTCCTTCAAGACTGTTGGAAAAGCCTTCCAGGTGAAGCTGGTTGAGAGAATGCCAAGAGTGTGCAAAGCTGTCATCAAGGCAAAGGGTGGCTATTTGAAGAATATAAAATATAAAATTTATTTTGATTTGTTTAACACTTTTTTGGTTACTACATTATTTCATGTGTTATTTCATAGTTTATGTCTTCACTATTATTCTACAATGTAGAAAATAGTCAAAATAAAGAAAAACCCTGGAATGAGTAGGTGTGTCCAAACTTTTGACTGGTACTGTATATTCACACACAGTTTCTCTCCCTCTCACACACACACTTTGGCCCAATGGTGATCCCAGGTCTCAGGGGATGAATCTGCACCACAGCTGTTGTCAATCTGTGGCCATGTGATCCTCCCTTCAATAGAGTGCACCTGAACCCCAGCCGAAATATCTGGTCTGTGTGTGTGTCTTTGTTCCACAATCCCCCCATCACCTCCCTCCCAGCTGTGCCCAGGCGGTGTCATTAACATGCAGCACCACAACCCACACTGCTCAGCTGGCCTGGCCACTGACACAACCCCATGCTTCTCTCCTCTCCTCTCCCAAACTACATAGCACAGTGGCACTATCACTCAGAGATAGGGATGGCCATATTCAAAATCAGCTGTCAAACATTTACAGTTGTCAAAAATCACTGAGCCAGCCCAAGCCTTCCTTTTTGGTTATACTGAGATTTGCCAATAGAATACGCCTATACATATAATTATTTGCGTTTTTATTAACATAATGACAAATAATGTCTTGACTGGGCTACATTCACCGGGACATGTATGTGGTGTTATCCTTTTAAGTTCAGTGTCCATTCCAACCCTAGGCTAATAGGATGACGCTTAGCCTACGCGCTAATAATCACTTGTGCGCAATAAGCAAGTGTACCGCTAGATGAAAATCACTGCCAGTTTTGTCAAGCCTCGCCCATTCGCACACAATAAGGAAGTTGACAGCTCTCGCAGAATGGGGTTTCCAAGGAATTCGCCGCCGCCCGGTGCGCGCTATCCGGGCGACACTATGCAGCCACTCACACAGCATGCAATGCAATGCACCGACATTTGCGCATTGACGGTATGGCTGCACCTACCTTTTCTTTCGGTCCCCGTTTTTCCAGGTATCCTTCGTAGTAGCAGGGCGGGAGCTGCGCCCTCGTTGCCGAGCGCTGTTTGACTGGTGCAGTCGCCATGAGTATCGCTGGCTGGCTGGGCATAAACCGAGGACAAAGGGGTGCTTAGTAATTGGGGGAGATGACACGCCTTCCTCGGATGAGATATCACCATGGATATCCGCCAACAGCTGGCTGTCGTGCACGTCCTTATGTGTCAGTCAGGATAGAATATGTCATTGTGTGGTTTATTGTGCAGTTTGCTTTGATTGGGCTAGGCTTCTTCAGGAGGGTTAGAGATTGGTTGTGACATCTCAAATATATTGCTGGAATAGTCTGCTTGGACACTTATTCCAGAGCCTGATTGATCAATTTATTTTTTGACAATCGACTTGTGTTTTTGAAACCACTGATTAGATGATTCTATTAATTTAGGCTAACATTACCTACATCATTTCATTCAAAATGTGTGTACAATATCGAAACTACACTGTATTAATGAATGAGACTTTTCTGAAAATAGTGGAATTTATATTTTTACATGTTAGTCATTTAGCAGACGCTCTTATCCAGAGTAGTGCATACATTTTCATACTGGCCCCCCGTGGGAAACGAACCCACAACCCTGGCGTTGCAAGCGCCATACTCTACCAACTGAGCTACAGGGGACCCCAAAAAGAAAACAATCCATCCAATCATGCATTGTAAACCTGAAGACACAACCAGCACACTGAGGGCCACTTCACTTTCCTTTATATTTATTTAAGAAGCGAAAGGACAGAATCCTTTCCCCTTTACATCATAACAAAAATATACAATACACAGGAGATTATACATGACAATACAAAGATAATCCAGAAATAATCCTGCCTCGGTTCAAGCCTCGATCCCTGGAGAGCGTCACAGTAAAAAAAAAAACTGAGCCTCAAAATGAGGCATCATCGCTAAAGCAAGACACATTACATATAGAGACACATGCAGGATACTATAAATGTACACTGGACACCTTCCAATATGATTCTGTATATTCAAATAAAGTTAGTTAAGATAATACTTATTTTCATAATATCCAAATAATATGGTACTCCTGTGGGGTTTAGTAAATCTACCCCAGCTACGAATGTAGTGTGAAAAACATACAAATATAATTAGTCACCAATGGCATTAGAATAGTTGACGACACACACGTCCGCAAAAACGGACAAAATTGATCTGAGCCCTTTGTTATATTATTAAACAGGTATACGAGGTACTTGGCACAACCTGAGCCCCTTCTCTCCCCCCCCACCTCGGTCCCCCTTCGTAGTTATTTTTAGTTAGGCTAATGGGCCATGGCAAACCACACCTGAACCTAAACATTACTCACTGACAGAGGCACTAAACCCCAAACCATGTCAATCCAACGAATATAACAGACAACAAGAGACACATGTAAACATTAAGTTAAGAGGAACATGCCAAAATGCACAAGGGATATTAGGTTTCTTTTGGTATTGAGCTGCATGTTCTAGGGAAGGAGTGGAGAGAGGGAGATGGGGAGGGAGAGTTCTGTAGTGATGGGAGAGGGGCAGGGCTCGAGGGGGAGGATTAGGGATGACAATAGGGAAGGACCCGGGGCAGGTGTGAGAGAGGGGTAGGAGGGGAGTAAAGGGGGCATAGGAATGGGGGCAGAGAGCCAGCGAGTGGGGGTAGGGGATAAGCTGTCCTGTGCCATTTCTAAATAAAAGATTCTGTTCCAGTTCCACGGGTGCTGTGATGGAGTGAAACAACTAGATATCAAGGAGAACCAGTTATTGTCTGTGTGTAGAGTTCATATCTTTACAGTTGAGGCTCTGGGTAAAAGGTGTAGGTGGAACTGAAACTAGAACAGTGTAACACCCAGAAAAACACAAGTTCATGGTCATATCCAGTACTCTTTCCTCTCTTTCTCTCCCACACACACACCATGGGGGTGACATGTGTAAATAAAAAACAACTACCCTTCTTTAAAATACTTCTCCAACGAAGAATGTGATTTCAAATCCCCTTTTGGTAGCATCTGTAAATGCATGCTCTAGAAAACCTGAATACATTCTCCAAGACACTGCCAGCAGTGTCAACAAGCGATGCATACTGACAGACATGCACACACCTTACTGACCGTACGCAGACTGACAGTAGCAAGTCAATCATAGGAGGCCACTGTGGTATCCATCTCCACTCTCCAAAAAAAGGTGTTACTTTGGTTTCAGCCCTCAGGCACACAGAGACAAGGGTTATTGTCAGAAGGTACAGATTGCTACAAATCAGAGTTAGAACACAAAAACACATTCAGAACTAAGGACGGGGTGGGAAATGCAAAGTTTCCCTTTTTGATAATTTGGCCATATAAAAGTTAGTGTAAGGCAGAGATACAGAGGAGAGGGGGAGGAAGGCACAGGGGTATTGCAGACGGAGTCTATGAAAGGCAGCCTAGCAGCAGTAACAGTACCAAACAGAGATCGTGTTAAGAGACATAGTACAACTCTGACCAGCAGAGATGTGTGTATGCCAACAGAAAAGGACCATTCACTACAGTTATTCACTAGCCTAGGTGCCCAACTGTTTCCAACAACACCATATTGTTACCATGCCAAGACAATGGCCACGTTGGCTTGAGTAGAAACAGGCTGGTAAACAGGCTAGTTATTCCACATACCAGCTGAACAAATCACATTTTACAAGTATGGGATAGATTACGAGTTAGAAAAAAGGACCATGAAATTAACCATTAGGGGGAAACACGCAAAACTGATCCGTATCTATGGGCAACTTCATCCTACTCCTGAAGGTCTAACACACGTAGACCAGCAGAGGGCAGCATTTAACTGCTAAAACGGCGACCCATCTAACGCTCCACTTCAGGGAGGAATATAATGGGTGTATGGATTTTGTGTTTGTATATAAAAGAGGAGGGCGTGTGTGCATTAAAATGAACAGGCTTTTGATTCCCACTTGTGGAAGAGTAAAACATATTTAAACTATTTTGCCTAGAAATAACGTTATTGTCCTTAAGTAAATGAGTGATTAAAGGCAACAATTTCAAGGCAATTTTACAGCATAGCCTGGTAGTGTTCATGGGTACAGGTCACACATAATAACACAAACATCTCCTCTAGTAACCCCTTCTTCATATCTCCCGGTAAGGGAGGTGAAGTGTAGAAAGTGCACAGGTGCATAGAGAATGAAAACAAAGATACACCCACCCCAATGTTGTACTAACTTTTCTCTCAATCAACATCCTTTTCCTCTCTCCCTCACTTTTTCTATCCATCCATCTTTGGGTGAATCTCAATAACCTAAAGTGACCTCTTTCCTCATCGAATTTTCTTACACCGAGATCTCCTTGTAGGCATCAGTTCTGCATTTTTAGATCAGTGACCATGAACTGGAGGCCACTTTAGACTATTGAGATGCCCTCTCTGGTTTACCTCTCTCCTCCCTTCCCTCCCTCTCCTTCTCTTCTCCTCTCTGAGCGTTACAGGGGCACGACCACTTCTACGTAGTTGTTGGGGAAGAATCCTGATTGGCCGCGGAGTGTGCCCTCGAACCAGTTCTCGTCGATGCGGTTGGTCAGCGTGATGATGTCGCCCTCGCGGAAGCCCAGCTCACCCTCGTTCTCCGGCTCAAAGTCATACATTGCCTTAGCGCACGGCTCAGAGGCTGGGGACAGGGAAGGAGAGGAATGTGTTGGAAAGGGAAAGAGAAAAAGGAACTTGAATTTTGCATTCTTCTGGTCAGCATTTTCAAACCAGGACCACTTCCAGAGTTTAAATGAGGGAGATGTAGGAGAGGAACCCTTCCGGAACCAGAACACTTCAGAAACCTCCGAACCGCTGGGCTCACAGGGCTGAAGGGAACCGTTACCATCTCCAGTGCACAGGGTTAGTTTAGTGGTTGTAGAGGCCGGAGCAAGTGTGTATTAGTGACCAACCATATCCTCTTTGTGGTGACATGCAGGGGATGGAAGGGTTAAAGCATCCAACACACACCATTCCATGTTATTTAAAAAAACTCCTGGACTGAAGTGAGTTTTTCACAGACTCACACACACTCACAGTGTCGATTGACCTTCATGGACGGTGTTCTGTGGAAGGATGGGACTTCTACAAGGGGGGCTATACATACATAGAGAAAGATCAGTTCTGGGCTGGTGAGACAGATACAGACAGAGACAAAAGCACGCACACACTACGCACACAGTTAAGGGTCAGTCTTACCTGACGAGTATGAAGGGGAGTTGGCAGTGGGAGAGTATCCTCCGTTTGAGTGCTCCGGCTCTCCGTAGTCAAAGGAGGGTTTGGGTTTAGGAGTGTACTCCCGCCTGGGGCGAGACTGGGCCTCGTTCACCCTGATACACACACAGGAGAGGGGATGACTCAGTCACACACACGCAAATACACACACACAGTAACAACCAACACAAATATCTTCAACTGAATTGTAATGTCTACACACACACCACACACACACAGCTGAAATACCGTTCTCGGAGTTTGTCAGTCAGCTCCTCCAGAACCTGCACGGCTTGTTTGTGATACTGCAGCTGGGACTCCACCAGAGAAGCCATCTGACTCACCTGCTCCACCTACACAGAAATCAGTCAGATATATTATTAATACAGGGGGACATGGCACATTTACACTTTGGCATGTTTGCTTTATTGTTCTTCTTCCTCTCACCTCACAAGGTCTATTTTCGGACTCTCAAAACTGCTTTGTTCCTACTAACACGTGTTGTACTCTCCCCTCACCCCTGATCAAATAAAAGGTAAATACCTAACATGGGCCTCATTTATAACCGTTGCATAAATGTTACACTAAATATCTTTGTGCGCAATTTCTGATATGAATAGGTACGTCTAAAATATTGAGATTTATAAACTTGGCACACGCCATACATATGTTTCCCGTTATAAATCAGACCGGTCTTAAAACTGCTCGCTCGTGAACTAGCATTATAACTCTGCCTGGAAAACACCCTCCATTCACCTTTTATGGTGACAATAACACCCTTTATTTGCTACATCATTTAGAACTATTTGAATTAGGCCACGTCAGTTTCTAAAAGAAAGAGCAATGGCAAATTTAATCAAATGTCTTTGAAGGTGTTGGCAGAATCTTTTAATATTTTGCAGTAACTTATGCTGTATCTGGCAAAGGACTGACAGATTCTTAAAGAAAAAACTATGGCTAATTGTTGTGGACCTGTCAGCAGAACGTTTGAACGCAACAATGTTTTGCATCGACTTTTACCCCCAACCTAAATATGCTGGACTGCCTGCAAGTTCTGAAACATTGTCTAGGGCCTAGGCTACTCAAAAACATTGACATTACAGTAGGCTACTTACAGTAGTTGCATACATACTTCAATGTAAAAGATAAACTGTCTGTTCACCTGTTAAATTTGACTGTAGCCTGTTATAAACCGTGCTGCCAATGGAATGGTATAGGCTACACTACAGCAAAGCTTGAAATACATAGTCTATCTATTTACTAGGCTACTGGGCCCAATTCAATTAGAGATGCGCATGGTCATTTGTTGTATGGCTACTTCGGGAATGCATCACGGCCAGAAAAGGGGAGGAATTTATTCTGCAATGGATATGAAAATAAAATAAATAAGAAATAGTTTCCAATGTCTAATTATTTCAGAATATATGTTTTTAAACAGAGATTTTAGGCCTACTAACTGCAAATGGATGCATCTAGTTGTTTTCCTTTCTTAGCACATTCTCACGTCAAGTTCAGTTTTTATAAATGCCAACTTTTGTGGGAAAACTAGCGCATGCATGTTTTGGGGTATATTTACATACGCAACATTTACAAATGAGGCCCCAGGCAATCTGAGACGGGTTAGACTTATTCTCAGTTGCTAATACACACAATGCTGTGACATTACATAACTGTTCCACTCACCAGCTATGTAGTCGTGGTAAGCTGACTGCATTCTGGTCCTGAAATACTCATCAAGGCTAATACTAACGTTGATGCCAAATCTAGTGCCAATGCTAATGCTAGCGATAGGGTATTATGGTTTGAGAGTATGAAGCCTCATATGGCATGACGATCATACTAGCTCTGATCATCTACCCAGACAACCAATGGAAAACAGGCTCCCTTTTTTCCTTGTCACTGTTGTTTCTACTTGCTATTGAGGAGTTTAGGCACATATGTTTCTGTTAAGGAAGCACTTTATGACCAATTCATTTGTAAGAAGCACTATATACAGGCAGTGGCGACATGTCATTCAGGGCAGGTGGGACACAGTTAATAAAGCCGCATTCAAACATGGTCTCTTTTTTGCTTTCTTGAGTAAGGGAGCTCCAAAATGCAGGGGTTTCAGCCTAGCTCAGTGCTTTCTGTGGGGGAGGGGCAGCCAGCGGAAAATATAGAGCGTAGGGGTTGGTAATCGTCTCTAGTTGCGCCGTGATTGGCTCAGTGTTCTGTTACTCATCGGGACACTACGCCACCGCAAAATCTACAGGGAGAGCTAGAAAGTTCAAGCCTCCTTGGGTGCTGCCATAGAGTTACATTAGAAGTGCCCATCCAAGAAGGCTCAAGGTAATTGGCCACAGATAAAATTACGTAAAATCACGTTATATCCACCGTAGCTTTGATTGGACTGATCATGTCAACATCATACTTTCAAAATCTTAGCTAGCAAGCAGTCATCATGAATCACGTCGACAATCTACTGGCAAATCCTTTTCCTTGGTTTCTCAAATGACTGCCTCGCATGGTTCACCAACTACTTCTCAGATAGAGTTCAGTGTGTCAAATCGGAGGGCCTGTTGTCTGGACCTATGGCAGTCTCTATGGGGGTGCCACAGGGTTCAATTCTTGGGCCGATACTTTTCTCCGTGTATATCAATGATGTCGCTCTTGCTGCTGGTGACTCTCAGATCCACCTCTACGCAGACGACACCATTTTGTATACATCTGGCCCTTCATTGGACACTGTGTTAACAAACCTCCAAACGAGCTTCAATGCCATACAACACTCCTTCAGTAGCCTCCAACTGCTCTTAAACACTAGTAAAACTAAATGCATGCTCTTCAATCGAACGCTGCTGGCACCCGCCCACCCAACTAGAATCACCACTCTCGACGGGTCTGACCTAGAGTATGTGGACAACTACAAATACCTAGGTGTCTGGTTAGACTGTAAACTCTCCTTCCAGACTCACATTAAGAATCTCCAATCCAAAGTTAAATCTAGAATCGGCTTCCTATTTCGCAACAAAGCCTCCTTCACTCATGCTGCCAAACATGCCCTCGTAAAACTGACTATCCTACCGATCCTTGACTTCGGCGATGTCATTTACAAAATAGCCTCCAACACTCTACTCAGCAAATTGGATGTAGTCTATCACAGTGCCATCCGTTTTGTCTCCAAAGCCCCATACACTACCCACCACTGTGACCTGTACGCTCTTGTTGGCTGGTCCTCACTACATGTTTGTCGTCAAACCCACTGGCTGCAGGCCATCTATAAATCACTGCTAGGCAAATCCCTGCCTTATCTTAGCTCATTGGTCACCATAGCAGCACCCACCCGTAGTCTGCACTCCAGCAGGTATATCTCACTGGTCATTCACAAAGCCAACACCTCATTTGGCCGCCATTCCTTCCAGTTCTCTGCTGCCAATGACTGGAACGAATTGCAAAAATCTCTGAAGCTGGAGACTTATCTCCCTCACTAACTTTAAGCATCAGTTGTCAGAGCACCTTACCGATCACTGCACCTGTACACAGCCCATCTGAAATTAGCCCACCCAACTACCTCATCCCTATATTGTTATTTATTTTGCTAATTTGCACCCCAGTATCTCTATTTGCACATAATCTCTTGCACATCTAGCATTCCAGTGTTAATACTAATTGTAATTATTTTGCACTATAGCCTATTTATTGCCTTACCTCCATAACTTGCTACATTTGCACACACTGTATATATATTTTCTGTTGTATTTTTTGACTTTATGTTTTTTTACCCCATATGTAACTCTGTGTTGTTGTTTTTATCGCACTGCTTTGCTTTATCTTGGCCAGGTCGCAGTTGTAAATGAGAACATGTTCTCAACTGGCTTACCTGGTTAAATAAAGGTGAAATAAAAATAAATCAATCAATCCTAGTCACATGAAGAGAAATTATAGATAAAACGTATCGGTGCTCATCGGCCATTGGACATAAACATTACACAACAAGATGGAAATCGCAAATTCAACAATGAGTGGTTTGGAAGGAATCAGTGGCTAACTGCAAGCGTTGCAAAGCAATCACTATTTTGCTTCCCCTGCCAGCTATTCGATGGAGAGGGTGTGTGGTCCAAGTCTGGGTTTAAGGGTCTCTTTTCCAAGCTTAAAAGGATAAACATTCACACGCAACACCATGGGCCAGAAAAGGTTGAATACATTGGACAGGCTGTCCACCAAGCTTGACTTCTGCCGCGTTCAAAACAACTGGAAACTCGGTACTGGGAAATCTCAGACTTCAGTGAATTCAAGACAACTGGGAACACTGAAAAAACGAGCTCCGACTGGGAAAATACATTTTGACCGGTCATCCAACTCGGAATTCCAAGTCGGGAACTCTGGCCTTTCTAGAGCTCCGACCTGAAGATCACTGACGTCATGATTTTACCTTGTCTCAGGCACCACTCCAGAATCTCCCATAAGTGTTCAATTGGGATGAGATCTGGTGACTGAGACGGCCATGGCATATGGTTTACATCGTTTTCATGCTCATCAAACCATTCCGTGACCACTCGTGCCCTGTGGATGGGGGCATTGTCATCCTATAATAATGGCCTACCCAGCATTTTTATACATGACGGGAAGTTAATTGGTTAATTAACTCAGGAACCACACCTGTGTGGAAGCACCTGTTTTCAATATACTTTGTATCCCTAATTGTGTTTCCATTATTTTGGCAGTTAGCTGTCTATAATTTAGCAGACACATTTATCCAAAGCGACTTACAGTCATGTGTGCATTTTTACGCATGGGTGGTCCCGGGAATCAAAAACTATCCTGGCACTATGATAAAAATGTGATTGATAGATACAAATTTGATTGATTGATTGTGGCTGTCTGTCTCTGGCATGACTCCCCAACTCTGACCCCTAACCTCTAACCCCTAACCCTTGAACCCTGAGGTATGACTCACGTCAGTCTCAAGCAGGTTGTGCATGGAGCTCTCGGCCATCTCTTTGGACTCATGGAACTTCTCCAGGGCCGATCTCAGCTCCTCGTCTGGGATCTTCCCCTGCCGCTTCTTCTTATAGTCGTAGTCCAGACGCCTGCCCTCCAGCTTCTTCAGATGATGCTGAGGAAGGAAGGAGAGAGCCCTCCATTAGTTGATTGTGCAAGGTTAGAACAAAAATGTGTAACATTGGGGGAGAGTTGAGAATCACTCATTCATCTCATTCTAGATCTGTACCTGGATATCTTTGATGTCCTTGTCGACGACGGCCTGCAGTGGGTCGATAAAGTTTTGTTTGACGTCGATGTCCAGGGAGTCCTTGACTTCGGCCAGCCTCTTCATGGACTCGCCCACGTCCACCAGGGCCCCACCTACAGGACAAACACAGTTACAGGAGTGGATACACAATCCACTCACCTGCCAAAAAGGACAAGGTTCTTCTGTTGAGTACTCTTTTAAGTGGTCACTACATTATACACACACACAAACACACCTGGAATTCTGTATTTTGAGGGCCAAAGACTAAAATACAACTATTATGGTGGTTTATGAAACCAATTTCTCTTTCTTACCAAAGTTTGTGTCCTCTCCAATCTCTCGTCCGAACTTGGCCATACTCTCCCCTAGCAGCCCCTCAGCCTGGGGGTAGCCAGGGCTCTTCACCTGGCCCCGGATCTTAGACACTGTGTTCAGCATGGTCAGCTTGGCCCTGGACGCTGGGTTGGGCTGCAGGTACTCAGAGGTTTTAGAGATGACATCCACCACCGCTTTGCTGGTAACATCTGCCCTCTATGGGGAGGAGAGAAAGAGTAAGAGAATTATGTACAACTTCCTTTTACAAAACTGTAGGTGATTTGTTGTCCAGGTGTGTGTTTTTGTTAAGGGGACCGAGCCCTTACCTTCTCCAAATCTTTGAAGTCTTCATCCAGCTTGGTTCCTTCTGCACCCCCCACCTTCTCACTCACCATCTACAAAGGATCAGGTAGAGAGAAAGGGAGGAGAATAATACGTTGAATACAAGTCTCTTTCACATCCATTCTGCACAGGACATGACTTTTCGATCACAACAAAGCAGGCCTAATTCAGACAATAGTAGCATATAAGTGAAATGTTGCATTTGACCACGTGATGGAGAAAGTTTGCTCTTCTCCAGTTTGTGCTGATTCATTACAGGACATGACTACTCCAAGCAGTGAAAGTCTACACTGCACAAAAATATAAAAACACAACATGCAATTCCAAAGATTTTACTGATTTACAGTTCATATAAGGAAATCAGTCAATTGAAATAAATTCATTAGGCCCTAATCTCTGGATTTCACATGACTGGAAATACAGATATGCATCTGTTGGTCAGAGATACCTTTAAAAAAAGGTAGGGGTGTGGATCAGAAAATCAGTCAGTATCTGGTGTGACCACAATTTGCCTCATGCAGCGCGACATCTCCTTCGCATAGAGTTGATCAGGCTGTTGATTGTTGTCCCACTCCTCTTCAATGGCTGTGCGAAGTTGCTGGATATTGGCGGGAACTGGAACATGCTTGTCATACACATCAATCCAGAGCATCCCAAACATGCTCAATGGGTGACATGTCTGGTGAGTATGCAGGCCATGGAAGAACTGGCACATTTTCAGTTTCCAGGAATTGTGTACAGATCCTTGCGACGAGGCGGTGTATTATCATGCTGAAACATGACGTGATGGCAGCGGATGAACGGCACGACAATGGGCCTCAGGATCTCGCCATGGTATCTCTGCATTCAAATTGCCATCGATAAAATGCAATTGTGTTCGTTGTCCGTAGCTTATGCCTGCCCATACCATAACCCCACCATGGGGCACTCTGTTCACAACGTTGACATCAGCAAACCGCTTGCTCACACAACTGCCCGGTACAGTTGAAACCGGGATTCATCAGTGAAGAGCACACTTCTCCAGCGTGCCAGTGGCCATCGAAGGAGAGCATTTGCCCATTGAAGTCTGTTACGATGCCGAACTGCAGTCAGGTCAAGGAGGTTTTCTTTTCATACTGAATGCATTATTACTTAAATAATAGCCCTTGGACCCCACAAGTCACCAACAGACAGGAACACTTCCACAGACAGAGACTTTCTCACACACACACACACATCCATGTGCACATGCACCAAAGCTTTTGGTTGATTGGCAGGTAAAATCAAACAGACTCTTATTGTATATTCCTTCACCATGTGACTCAGTGCAGCTGTCTCCAGGGCCTTTATCTCACTACATGCACACAGCAGATGGGTTAGTCAATCAGTCTTTATATTAGCAGTGTTCTTTAATCTAAGTCATGGAGATCCACAGTGTGTGCAGGCTTTTGCTCCATTCCAGAAGTTTTACACAACTGATTAAACTTATCAACTAGTAACTACTCATCAACCTTGATAACCGGCCCATCAGTGTGCAATACACTCTCAAAGACGATACGCCTGCTTCAGTCCTGCAGGGGCAATAATATCTTTGCTGCCATAAATCATGAAACTACAGGTCGCACCTTAAGTGCAATAACTGTTGCAGTTACCATAGTCAGTCACATAACATGCCATGCCCAGTGACCAGGCTTCAGCTACTGATAGCTGTAATCCACATTATGCTATATGACATAACATGTAGGACTGGAGATGGGCCTGCCTGGGAGTGGGAACATATTTAAGGCATGTTTGTTCATGTTCTCAACACATTTCTCTGGTGTGTGTTCACATGATGATCACCAGCGGTTTTGCAGGTTCTCTCTCTGTGCATTAATGTAGCCGTAGCCTATTCCATGATCTGCGGTTCAAGATGTAGCAATGAGTAGGCTACTCATTTTTTTTTACCTGAGAGGAGCAAAATTATCAAAATTACCAACTTGAAATAATTCCTCATAAGACAATACAGTCAATATTATGAAATGGGAACAGGCTAATGCATGGAGTTCAGTGATACAAAATGAAGCAATTACGTATTGGTTTTCAATGTCATAGGTGTAAAAAATGTGATAACCCATCATTTCATGTTCATGTTGACCATGACTAACAAATTAACTTGAACTGCGTCAGAGAGAAGAGGAAGCGCAAGAGGGTCTATGTGTGTGTATGCGTGCGCGTAAGCCAACAGACTATTACTGATGTTGTATTGTATGTGCATAATGCTTTGCGTGTGAGTGAGTGTGAGATAGTGTGTGTGGAAGTGACTGTGTTTATCGGCAGGCTGTTGACCTGGTCTGTTCTCCTGGCTTAAATAATGACCCGGGAATCCGGTTTGGGCACTACTACTGCGTTGCAAGATATACGAAACACACCATGGCCCACACCCATAAGCGAACAAGTCACCCCACCAGACAAAGTGGGAGTAACACACCAACAGACTACTGTTGCACAGTGTACCAAAACTTTGGTACTTTTTCGATACTATAACATGAAGAACGGTCCGGTACTAGAATGTTACTTTTGGTTCTTCTATCAAATGTGTCTCACGTTTGTAAATCAACTAAATATATTGAACTTATTAGAAAAGTAATACATTTTCTCAAGTTTATCATAAGACATGAACAGAATGCATCAGTGATTCGTATTCCCTGCAACTTTCTGAAGAGGAAACGGCACGGGAATTCCCGTTTGTGTAGCCGTTAGCAATGCTAATGATAACGGTCTTCAGGTAGATGGAAAGACTTTCCCAAAAACCTTCTCAAGTTAAGTACAAACTAGTATACGTCTACTTTGCAGAATCATGATTATTTGCATCAGTCAAATGGGGATTTGTTTTGCAAACTCCATGTGCGCTAAATAAACACTGCTAACCAAACAGTCCTTGGTGCATGCGCACTTGAATTAAAGGGTAACTACACTCAAATCAATATTTAGATTTTTCCCAAACCTCAAAAATGGTCTCCTGTGTGATTTGAGCATTGTTGTGGACTTAGAACATCCACGTTTTTCCCCCTCCTATAAATAAATAAAAAGGTGTGATTTTGAGTGGGAAACCCTGAAAAAAAAGAAGGAAAATCAGTCCATCTCCCCACTTTCTTTTTTTCTTCTTCTGTGGTATCATGATGATATAGAGCCCTGAAACAACTCTGGACCTCAAAGCCAGTTCCACTGTGTTTTTTTTCAGTGTTGCCCTCTAATCATGGACTGATTTAGACCTGGGACACCAGGTGGGTGCAATTCATTATCAGGTAGAACAGAAAACCAGCAGCAGGACCTCATAGGGTAAGAGTTGAATACCCCTGGTATAAAGTAGTGATATTAAAATGTGGGTATCATGACTAGGAATGGGCCGATATATGATTAAATCAAATATTGTGATATTTGACATTGACAATATACAGTGAGGGAAAAAAGTATTTGATCCCCTGCTGACTTCGTACGTTTGCCCACTGACAAAGAAATTATCAGTCTATAATTTTAATGGTAGGTTTATTTGAACAGTGAGGGACAGAATAACAAAAGAAATCCAGAAAAACGCATGTCAAAAATTTTAGAAATTGATTTGCATTTTAATGATGGAAATAAGTATTTGACCCCCTCTCAATCAGAAAGATTTCTGGCTCCCAGGTGTCTTTTATACAGGTAACGAGCTGAGATTAGGAGCACACTCTTAAAGGGAGTGCTCCTAATCTCAGCTTGTTACCTGTATAAAAGACACCTGTCCACAGAAGCAATCAATCAATCAGATTCCAAACTCTCCACCATGGCCAAGACCAAAGCGCTCTCCAAGGATGTCAGGGACAAGATTGTAGACCTACACAAGGCTGGAATGGGCTACAAGACCATCGCCAAGCAGCTTGGTGAGAAGGTGACAACAGTTGGTGCGATTATTCACAAATGGAAGAAACACAAAAGAACTGTCAACCTCCCTCGGCCTGGTGGAGTTGCAATGATCATGAGAACGGTGAGGAATCAGCCCAGAACTACACGGGAGGATCTTGTCAATGATCTCAAGGCAGCTGGGACCATAGTCACCAAGAAAACAATTGGTAACACACTACGCCGTGAAGGACTGAAATCCTGCAGTGCCCGCAAGGTCCCCCTGCTCAAGAAAGCAAATAGTCTGGGTAGCCATGATTAGCTGTTTAGGAGTCTTATGGCTTGGGGGTAGAAGCTGTTGAGAAGTATTTTGGACCTAGACTTGGCACTCCGGTACCGCTTGCCGTGCGGTAGCAGAGAGAACAGTCTATGACTAGGGTGGCTGGAGTCTTTGACAATTTTGAGGGCCTTCCTCTGACACCGCCTGGTATAGAGGTCCTGGATGGCAGGAAGCTTGGCCTCAGTGATGTACTGGGCCGTACGCACTATCCTCTGTAGTGCCTTACGGTCGGAGGCCAAGCAGTTGCCATACCAGGCGGTGATGCAACCAGTCAGGATGCTCTCGATGGTGCAGCTGTAGAATTTTTTGAGGATCTAAGGACCCATGCCAAATATTTTCAGTCTCCTGAGGGGGAATAGGCTTTGTCGTGCCCTCTTCACGACTGTCTTGGTGTGTTTGGACCATGATAGTTGGTTGGTGATATGGACAGCTCTCAACCTGTTCCACTACAGCCCCGTCGATGAGAATGGGGGCGTGCTCAGTCCTCTTTTTTTCCTGTAGTCCACAATCATCTCCTTTGTCTTGGTCACGTTGAGGGAGAGGTTGTTATCCTGGCACCACACGGCCAGGTCTCTGACCTCCTCCCTATAGGCTGTCTCATCGTTGTTGGTGATCAGGCCTACCACTGTTGTGTCGTCGGCAAACTTAATGATGGTGTTTGGAGTCGTGCCTGGCCATGCAGTCATGGGTGAACAGGGAGTACAGGAGGGGACTGAGCACGCACCCCTGAGGGGCCCTGTGTTGAGGATCAGTGTGGCAGATGTGTTGTTACCTACCCTTACCACCTGGGGGCGGCCCGACAGGAAGTCCAGGATCCAGTTGCAGAGGGAGGTGTTTAGTCCCAGGATCCTTAGCTTAGTGATGAGCTTTGAGGGC